AATGTAAATATATTTCTACAAATAAATATCAAAATCTTTCCAAAATAAAAAAGGTTCCTCTTCATATAAAAATGATAAATGCAATTTAAGAACCATTTTTGCTTAGAATATTTTGAATATTTTGTAGGCTCTTGCCTTTGTCATTTCCACCATTGAAGGTCAGATATTAAATTTTAATATTCGATATTTTTTGTTCCTGTCGTGTCAGGGATTTTTCATTTTTCCATTGTTTCGCTGTTCATGGTGTTAATTTTTTTTTTTTTTTTTGCCATGTCAGAGGAGAGGCGTGACATTAGCAGCTGTCGCCACCGCGGGGCTTCTTTTTCGGCTGCCGCTGCAACATGAAACCCAATCCAATCCAATACCCTCACTTTCACCCTTCGTTTCCGGAATTTCTTCCTGATGGATAACATGCAACTGCCATTGTGTTTGGCTTTTTCATCAGTGAACAGATTTCCTTTTTCACAGTTTTTTTTATGCTTTTTTTTTTGTTTGTTACAACAGTTGCTTTAAAGCAACCAGCAACAGCGTAAACTTTTTAATTAATATCAAATATGAAACGTTGCCATATCGGCGAGCAGCAACACAAAAACAAAAAAAATTTGGTCGTCCCAAAAGCCTAACCGGGAGAAAGTGAAATGAGGCAAAGCTTGTTAAAAGTTTTAATTAAATTGATTGTCGCTCCTTTGTTTTCATTTTCACATTATTTCTTCTAAGGAAGAGCAATGAAAATTAATTCCAATAAATAAACAGTACTCAAAATATGAAGAAAAACAATATGTTTACAAGTTAAATTCAAAATTTGTGGAAAATAAAATTTAAAAATATAAAGGTTTGCTAGTGAATAATTTAAAATATATAAAGTTTACTCCTTTCCTCATATAATTATAATCAAGTGGCCAAAATTACAAGCCTCAAACACCGACGGTGATGATATTCCGGCCATATGTTGTCCACAGGCACTATGCTATAGTATATATATATATATTTATATATAAGTGTAGCTCCCTGTTGCCTCTGCAGCCCATTTAATGTAGTTGTAAAATCATAATGAGACGGACGGAGTGCCTTTCACATGGATGAGCCACCACCAGCCTTTTTTAAAGCGATTTTAAATGAGCGAAAAATATTTTTTCAATAAATACCCGTTAATATATATTCTTGAATTCGCTTTATGCCACGCATCAATACTGGATGCAAGCCTTTTTTTCGGCACTGTGTCTACCCCGTTATTTTTTTTATTGACTGCATTTTATATTATTATTTAAAAATTAATTATACGCCACGTTGGCTCGTTTGGGTTTTTGCCGCATTACTTCGTCGTATTTTTACCGGTCGTTGCCGTTTTTAATTTAAATATAAAATATTGACTTGTGCCCGACACCGTCACCCGACACCATCGTCAGGGCCATATATTAAAAAATAGTTATCACATATTAATTTAAATATACTTTCCGTCGATGCCAACCCCTTCCGTCCGGCAAGAGAACTCAATGATAGCCTGATGGCTTTAAAATTAATAAGCCACATTGCCTTTTTGCCCAGCTTTTCAGACATCTAAACGGATTGAAGGAAAAGTTTCTTGGCTATTTCTTGTTCCACATACTCTGTTAGTTTGGGGTATACTTAAAGTTTGTAGAAGCTAATAAAGCATTTTGTAGTTAAGGAATAATTCTTTTAAAATGATATCTACAAGTAGCTAGTTATATTATATTAATAATTATTTTTAAATAAGTCAAGCATTATAATTTCTAGGTTGTATGTTTTTAGAGTGTCCCCAAGTTTAAGGCTTTCGCTTCAGTTTGGCATTTCCGGCATGGAAGCACCAGCAATAGCGAGACCAAAGCCCAAGACCAACTGAGATCGTGTGCGCGAGACTCATAAAATTGCCGGCTATTTGAACGGTTTTTTGTGCTAGCCAAAGCCAAGGCATTGAAAAATAAAACGCGGTCGGGGGAGAGTCCTGAAAGGAGCGGGTGGAAAATAGAGCAAAGTCAAGCGCTTGGCTGGAATTTCATACCGTTGGTATGGCAGGCAGCTCCTGCTCCAGCGACGACGATGACGACGACGACTGCTAGCTAGTGTGAGTGTGTTATCCTTTGACAAGGAGCATAGATGCTGCACCATCCTCCCTCGTACCTTCTTCCGGCTGCTGTCCACGATGTCGATGTGTTGGCCATTTTATTATATTTGCTAGCAGACATTTTTGCTCTAATACGAAAATGGGATTTTAGGATATAAAAATTATGATAGATTACCGTTGCACTCCCATACAGAGACCATCACACCAGAGTACAATTTTTTTCTACCAGGACACCATTCCGTCGTCCTTATATGCACTGTAATAAACTTTTTAGAAATGAAAGGAAAGATGTTAATTTGTTTAAATAATAATATATAATAATAATAATAAATAATTGTTATAAAATGTAATTTTTTATATTATTTAAAACATATATTTGTATTTTTTAGTTAGTCTTGTGGGCTTTGTATCGATAAGAGGTATATCTCATCGATTTGTCAAATAAGATACATCCCTAAAATATTTTATATATATTTTCTTTCAGTGAACATCTCCGTGGAAATTGCACCGGCTTAGTTGGGTAAAATCATTTGATGATAAAAGTGGCCCTCGATTGCTTTGTTGCTTGTTGCACGTTGCTGCCGTCGTCTCCTTCTTTCCGCTCTCGTCTCCTCGTTATTAAATTGGAAAGCCGGTGGAAAGGCGAAAAACATGCGAGCCGCAAGGATGCGGCTGCTGCTACATATACACACACAATGGATCCATCTAAAGTAACAATCATAACTCATTATGTTCACTGGTAAATTATAATGTCGAATATATATGGGATTTTGATTCACTTTGGGTTATCGTCATTGACTGACAAAGGGTTTACTCGTTTGTAAACTGGAATGTTGTTGTACTTGGAATTTTTTTATTTTTCCGTATTATTTTTTTTTTACTATTCTTTTAAAAAGAGGTTTGTTGATTAGTAAGATAATATTTACACAAATAATTAAATAAAAACAGAAAATTCTATCTTAAAACTTATCTTTATTTAACAAATTTAATACTTAGGAAGAAAAGATAATCGTTATTCACACTATTAACATTTTTTCAATTTAACAAATTTTTTAAATAAATTTATTTTCTGTCTTTATATTTAAATACTGTAAAAACGGGCATTTCTGCAACCACAAATTGCGCCATCTATCGTTTACTCAGTAAACTTAAAAAAACAAAAGCTTTGACAAGCTTTTTTGAGTTTCTACAAATAAAATATGTATTTTATTATAAGAAATTACTAGAATAAAATATATACTAAGTTCACTTTAACAGAAAAAAAAATAATTAGGGCATCCTAATTTTTGGTATACTGTCTGCGGTTTCTGTGGTTTTATAATCTAAATAAATAGTAAACAATGCTAAATTTCCTTGGCCCAAATTTATTTTAGTTTTATGAAAATCACATAGTTTTTTAATAAAACACAAACATCAAATAATGTATATACGCCTAGTTTTGGCTATTTAATTTAAACCAACTGAATCAACTAAGTTTAAAGAAATATCAATAATGATGGAAAAACACTAAGAATGATGAAAACTCGAATACTTTAGCAATATTTATCATTGGTTTCGTTCTTTTTTATTGCTATTACATCTGTTTGTCTACGAATTTAATGGAAATTACATTTGACCCTGACAACACAACTCAAAGCGTGTGGCAATTTTTTATGTTGTGACACTTTCGCAAAAAGCTAAACTTAAAAACAATGAAAAGAAAACATGAAAAACACGAATTCTGCTTACACTAACAATCATTGATTCTGCAATTAATTTGTGTCATATTTGCACAGCCGAAACAAGAGCTTAAATTATGCGTTTCGGTTTTATATTTTGATGTTAAAATCCAAGTGCCACCCAAGTACAATTGAAGCCACGGTTAAATCATTAGGTGATAAAATCTGATGAACAAAAACAAAAATGTTAAAGCCAAAAGATTCGGCCAAGCCGACTATCCCATGAGCTGCACAAATGTTATGCCTGACTGATTCTTAATTGACCCGGAATCCATAGTGTTTATATATCCATTAGGTTTTTCTTTGGCTGCCAAGTGCAGCCGACTGGGACGCGATGGTCAGCCAAGCAGTTGCCTTCTCTAAAATCTGAAGTTATTATTATTATGATTTTTTTTTTTAATTTTTAATTAGGCAGCAACAAATTGCTTCATGCAGTTGTGTGCGCCTCAAAAGGTCGTTGCGATTGGCCAACCGCTCGAGTTTTGTGTGACTTCAAATGAAGTCCGACTCAACGCCGAAGCGTCGTCTCTAAGGCTGCAACGATTAATCACCCACAGTGAAACCTGGATATATATAAAAACGACTTAATTGAAAACATATTTTATTAATATAATATTAATATATTATGCAGGAAGCGCAACATATTTTCATGTTTTAAATAGCAATATATTTTTATCTCAAAAATTTATATTTATAATTAAATAATATTAAATATATTAATTATGACAACCTGCAATCCATTAGAATAAATTTATAAATAATTTTTTTCTTAGTTTTTTTTCTTTTTGATTTGCACAATGATAAATATAGTGATATATACGTTTTTATTAATGATAACTAATTTTCGGTTTAAATAATACATTTATTAAATACAATTTAAGAAATATTTAAACCTTAAGAATCTTTAAACGTAATTTATTTATGTTTAAATAATTAAAATCTTCAATAAGTGATGCTAATGTAAGCGATACACCTCTTTTTAGGCTTAAAAATTCTATAAATATAATATATTTTGGCACCTGTATATGTCCCTTCCTCAGAGGCTCCACTGTGGCCGTCTGGGGCCACCGAAATGACTCAAATGTCGCGTGCTGCCTGCGTGTGTGAGCGAGTGAGGGAGAGGACAATCGCCTTTGGGCCGCCCCACTCGCTAACAAGTGGCCTCCGGCGAGGCGGCAATTCAGGCGCTAGTTCAGTTTTTGATTCAGTTTCAGGCGGTTCACAGTCGGCCGAGTCCAGCGCAATTGGCAAAACGCTGTTTTTAATTTCGTTTTTAGCCGCCCCCTGAATTATTTAGCAAACTTTCGTGTGGACACAAGCTTAATTTCGCGTGTGAAAAGTTCTCCTTCGTCCACTGTTTTTTTCCCACGGTCTATGGACATCTGTTGAGTTTTCAAGTGCACCTGTTCTTTTAATTTCGATAGCTTATTAAATTGAGAAAATCAAAATACAAAATGGGTAATTCCAGCTCCATTTGCACCGATCGCAATGCCATAAGGAATTATGATGAAAATGGGTAAGGAAAGGGAAAGCCCAAAGTGCCGAGTTAAAGGCAAAAGCAAACAGAACAGAGATTTGGGCAGTGCGAGAGATGGTTGAAAAGTTTTGAAAATTATTTAGCAATTGCCAAAATTCTAACATTAAAAAATATAATAGATCCTTAAGGGTGTTAACATTATATAACATTTCGAAATATTTAAAAGAAAATTATAAATAAATTTGTTTTCATATTTTGTTCCTTTTGGAAAGTTTTACAAAATGTTAACCTTTAAATTTGTGTTGTTTTTGTACTTATTTATTTTTTTTATAAATTATTAATTAAATGAAAAATAAATAATACCGAAATCATTAAGAAATAAAACTTAGATTATAAACATTTTGCTTAAATTTTTATATAACCTTTTATTTAATTAAAATTTGTATATAAGTAAACCTTATTTTTTATATATTCTAAACATAACTTTAAATCAATCTTAAACTGAAACTTAAACTAGACAAAATCTATTTTAAACCAAACAAAAAACACTCTATTCCCATACTCAAAGCGTGTCTAATTCCCCCATTAGAATCTTCCCAAACTTGTAGCTAAGACCTGCAATTACCTGGCTTTTCTAGATTGCACACCCAGCGCAAACCCAACTCCCACGACCACGCCTCCTTTAATAAATCTAGCTCTTCAGGTGTCATTAGTGCGGTTTATTAGTGTTTTATCAGCGATTTACGAGCAACTCATCGAAATGCGATCAAAAAACTAACTCTTGGCACACGACACACCGCCCATCGATAGCTTCAGTACACATTTTACCTATAATTACCAATTTTCGATGTGAAGCTAGAAAGAAAACAAAAACCAAGCGACAGGTGTGTTTTGCTGATGAAAATCCTTGTCCAAAAAAAAGTAAAACTGAATTCGAAATTAAGCACAGCTGAAGTAAATTGTTAATATTTATGAAGGTTACTCGAAAACTCGCATATGTGCTATATTCCAATTTATTGGCTTGCCGTGTTTTACTTTCAATTTTTGTGTAATAAATGAATGTGAGTATGTACAAAACTTCGGGGCAAATGCGGTCCGGACCCACAGGGCGTATGATTGACTCAAGTGCAAGGCAAGCCGGATCGGGACAGGTTAAGGTTAAGGTTTTTATTTCGGCCGTCTCGTAATTAGGTTTCTGTCTTTGGACAAGTCTGCCTTAGCCGTAAATAATTTATAGCAGAGACGTGTGGCATGAGTGCGATATATAATTGGACAGTCGAAACTAATACCCTTTCGAGCCACAGAAAAAGTTAATTAGTACTTATTTGTTTAAGGAACGCAGTAATAGATACTTTATTAATAAATTCATATATTTTTCATTATATTAATTGTAAAATAAACACCCAAAGATTTGTTTATTAACTTGTCTTGTTTAGATTATTAGTTAAACCAACTATATATTTTCATAAAGCTCCATATCGTTATATATATTTTCATTGCAAATTCATATATTTTTGTAAATGATTTTTATACCAGAAATAAAAACCGTCACATTATAAGCAAAAACCTTGTTGTAGTTTACAACAAAGTTAAGAAAAACAATTTAATACACAACAATATAAACTCTGTAAACCTTTGATCACTACCAGTCAATTCTACTTTAAATAGGAAATAATTTATTAATAGTTTTTTGCTTCTTTGTCTTATTATTTCCACCTCTGCTGTTCTCCCGGAATATTTTTTCTCATGCTTTTCACGCCTCAGCGTAATGTTTTCTTCGTCCCAGACAAATGATTGTACTCGTCATTATTGTTGTTATTATACGACATGAGTGGGGCTATATAGCATATGCGTTTGTACCGCCTTATCAGTCAGCTGCTTTACCCCCGCCCGCCCATGATCGATCCAACTAATCACAGAGAGAGAGAGAGAAAGAGTGCGGAAAAACTAACAAAATAGCAATAATGTAAAATGTAAAAGAGAAAAGAGACTGGGCGACAGAACAAATCCAATTTTGCAGCTCAGTTTAGCGCGAATTGTGCAGGGCAGCAGACAAAAATCAAAAGGCGGTATCAGGAATATATATATAGTACATATATAGGACACATATAGGACACTGGCAGCATCCACAGCCATGTATTCGGTTCTCCGGCGCTGTTCCGGCTTCAGAAAAACCTTTGGACGGCTGTGAGTGATTAAGTAAAAACAAGTAATTAATAATTATAATATGGCGCTATACTATGGCAGCACAGTATCGCCTGAGTGCACTTGGGTTATGGAACATACATACCATAAGTGGGTGTGTTTTTTTGTGGATCGGCGCTAATCAGTGGCACTTTGTCACCGCTTATCGCTACCCATCTCGAAGGCCTGTCTGTCAGAGAATCACCTGTTCACTGGGTTCAATGGAGCTGAAAAGTATTGCATTCAGTACATGCGGGATATATATGCAAATCAAGGGCCTTTGTAAGCTAGCTAAGGGCACCGAAACCATAAATACACTTCAGGATTTATAAGACATAGGTTTAAACTTTAAAGGAGACATTCAGAAAACTAGTTCCTAAAATATGTCAAAATAAAAAGAAATATATTTTTGAGTAAAATCGATAGAGTACAAAAATCAATAATCCCTAAATGTTGAGCCCTTGGAAGCTTTTACAGCTGTTAGCCAAGTGCGTAATAGCCCTCGAAGAAGAGTATCCATGAAGTCACCGAGAAAGTTGCCAATGCCGTTTATTGTCACTCCCGCATTGACATTCATTCACACTCGATGCGCTCAGAGCTTTATTTGAATTACAGAGAATTACAGAGAACATATCTCGCATTCCCAAGCACATTTCCGTTATAGTCTCCCTCTCTGTGTGTGCTCTCCCATGTGCCACCCACCCCCAGCCTCACTCTCTTCTCCCCACTTAGTCACTCACCCCGTGTCTTGTGTTCTCTCTGCCTCTCTCGCCCTTAGCACGCCGGTATATCCCACTGCCAACAATTCCCAGAGTCCTTCGAATGGACAAATAACTCCATACCACCACCACCACCATGCACACAGCCAGGAGAAGGATGGCGGCGGTTACTACAAGACCACAATTCCCGTTGGCAGCTCTCAGAGCGGCAGCGGCGACACAGCCGGAGAGAGCAACAGTTGCGCTCAGTGCCAAACAGCTGATGTGTCGCGCTCCTCTCCCACGAACAACAATCACGCACACACCCAAAGCTGCTGTTGTACTAGTAGTCGTGTGTGCTCCAATCATACGACTACAACCACAACGACACTCGAATACGAACTTTCCAATTTCGCAAAACTAACGACACGAATCACAACGAAAAGCGCCGCCGAAGGGGCAGCATCGACGGAACAGTGTGACATTGAAAAAGCTCATACAGGCAGCACTCCCGACTTGCCACAGGCCGCAGGACTACCGTTATCCTCGCGACATCACTGGAATCAGCTGCAGCGCAGTTTGCACGCTCTACACTATCAACAGCAACAGGAACAACAACGTGCTTACAGCTCCTCTTCCTGCTCCAAAAACAATAATAATAATAACGTAGCCGACATGAGTATAAACAAGCAGGTGAGCTTGGAGAAATACGCTCCGCGGGATCGCCATGGAGTCTGGGGCACTGGCGACAACGAAGTCTTGGGCAGCATCTCCGGATTCGATCGTCTCTACGACAAGCGCTACTCAAAGGTGAGTTCTATCTATTTCCTGGCCATTCGCTTGAATTCTCTTGCTCGCGACGCCTAAAGTATAGTGGAAAAGTACCAGGCAAAGGTTTTAGGGTGGGTTTTTATGGTTATTTTGTGCTTGGGCTTCGGGGAAGTCTTCCAGAAGGAATTAGCATTAGAAATCGTCTCTTAAATATTATTTTATTTTATAAATAGTACTTTATAACAAACTTTAAAAGTATCTAAGAGAAATTTTCTGTAGTATTTCATTAAAATGAATAAATGTATTCATTATAAAATCATAATTCTCAAGAAACAATCTATGTATATTAATATGAAATTTTCTCAGTTTAGGGATTTTTCCACCGCACGAGCTATTCTTTGAAAGCTAATTTTCAAAATCTCTTGTTTTTAAGGGTCATGCGGTCGATTTCTGTATCTTTTTGTAGGCCACTTGCTATTTTTAAAGCCAACACGAGCATAAAAAATTCCAATTCATAAATACATAAATAACTATTAAGCGGAAACGTCAGCTGGTGATTGCCAGCAAAAAAAAGAAAGACACTTTTTGGCAGTGGCTTCATTTTCGGCAAGTGGTGTGGGTGACCTTTAGATGACATAGAGCGCGACAGGGACAGCAACAAAACGTCCAGTTTGAACCAAAAAAAAAAAAATAATAATTATACACGCGCCACACTGGAACACCAAAGCTCACCGATTTTTGTTGCTGCTGGCTTTTTCAGTTAATTATTTTTATGGTTGCTGTCAAAAAATCGATAGCCAACTTTTATAATTGAACCAATTGACTGGATGTCAAATAGCAAAAAGTAGGGCATCAGGCGGCTATAGTGAAATGCGCAGCCAGAATTTGTATAAAAGTTGATATCTTGAATTGCATTTTCAAGTTCAATGCTGTTGTTTTGGGATTTTTGTTTTGCATGCTAGCGTTTTTCCGCTATTTTCCCACAGAGGCATGGGAGAGCTAATGCACGAATTGCTGCTGAAAATATTAGAGAGCACTTCAAAGAGACACCGCGCATGGGCTTTGCGTATTTTTCGCCTTTTTTATTTTGATTTTTGAAGCAGAGAAAAAAATACATTAGATTCTGAAAAATATTTTAACATTCTTTAAATACAGTTTAAATTAACTAATATGGATTTTATAAGTAAATGTTCTCAAGTTTAAAGTGCAAATTGCTTCTTAAATTCTTCTAAAAATTATTTAATTATATTTTCAAAATAAGAATTACTTCTTATTCTCAAATACCTTGATTTATCATTCACTTTCTAGTTTTAAGAGTAAAAAATGACATTTTTAGAGGAAAAAACCCTTTAATACACCATTTATTTTGCAACCAAAGCATTGGAATTTTTTCCCCCTGTTTGCCACTTAAACACAGGCTAAAAGGGGATTTATCTGGCCATGTAAACAGAAGCCATGTTAAGAATAATGGAGTGGGCCACTCCAGAAAAAAGTTCCTCCCTCTCCCAGCTAAAAAGCAATAATAATAAAGTTTTTTCCCGTCTTACGTCAGACCGCAATCTTTTGGATTTTGGCAGGCTGAAAATTAATAATTTAACCAGAAATTATCTTGGCAAGTAGTTTTCTTATCAGGAGCGCCAGCCTCTTGTGTTCTACAGTTTGTTATTACTTCTGACACGCTCCGCTCAAGTGACAATTGTTTATCGCAAACTTCTTCCCCGAACAGCTGATGAATGTTTTCATTTCCTTATACGTATTTCCTTGTGGAAAGTTTTCAAGTTCTTATCGCTTCAAAAAGAAAAAAGAAGTGGACGAAAGAAAATAAGACAACCGCAAAACCAGCGAAAACTGACCTACATCAAGTCATCAATTTAACTTTGTTTCAAAGAGCCAAATGACGATAATCCACATAATCAGACATACATAAGTATGTATATATCTGTGAGTTTGTTCACACCAGATACTGTGGGGGCATAGCAAACAATTTGCATTTGTACGCTTTGGATTGTTTTTTTGTTTTGCTATTTTGCCACTGTTTGTATTGTTATTTATCGCTGCGCCAAGGAAATTAAAAATTTAAACAAATTCAAACGTTCAATGGGATGAAAGAGCAAAGTGTTTGCAGCTTGTTGAAATAGTTGAATTATTCCAATGTTTACCCAATGACTTATTAGGTATTGATTGTTTATATTGGACTTAATGGTGGCGATAATGTAAATGATTAGATTAATTAATTTTAGGGGAGCCTTGGTAGCAGTTTTGTTTTAAAAAAAAATACAAAAAAGTATACCAACCTTTATTTGTACATATATATTTCCTTTGCTTAAATATTCCACTGTGACTCATGCACCCCCATGTTTTATTTCCGGCTGAGCAACAAGCTTCTCTCAGAGTTCCCCCATTTTCTGGGACATCCCATCCACATTCACATCCTTTCATCATTCCACCTGCCTGACCCACAAAGGACACAAGCGTCCAGGGTAAATATGTACCTTTTCCTTGGCTCACCTTTTTGGCAGAGGAAACACTTTGTTTGAAATTGCCTGTTATGTCTGTCTGGCCACCTCGACTCATGCTGATTAAAGCGACGCTTTCGTCATTCGAAATGTATTCAAAGTTTGCCGCTAGACGCTCCGGCCAGTGATAATGATTGAGGTGATCATGATCACGATCGTGATGATGATCGAACTGGTCGCCCCAGACAGCGCATAAAAAAAAATCAGCTGAGCGCTAATTTGTGTTTTGGTTCGGATTTTGGTCGATTTTTGTGGGTATTTTTTTGCAAATTCATTTGAAATGCGTATGCGTAATCTCTGAGTTGCCCATTACGTATACGCATGGCTCTGAAATTCGTTATACACAAGCGGATAATATATTGGTAATATATTTGAGTAATTTCAGTAAATATTTCAAAATAATTAACTGTTCCTCTTATTTTTTTTTATATTTAAATATGGTGAATATTTTTAAATCATTATTAATAATAACTAATGTATTACTAATGGCTTTCCCTTTGATGTACGTCCAATTGCAGTGTCAAACCCCATTATTTTCTAGGTTTATTATATTTGAATACAAATCTGTAAGTGATTATATAGCTCGAATGTTTGAAGCGGCTGATTCAGGGAATGATCAGGGGAAAGGGGAGACTTGTTGCCAGGCGGCTTGTAAACACTTTCGCACGCTTATCGCCGGGGCGTGCGTCGCTTTCAATGTCAACGGTGTCGTTCCCTCAATAGTTTTTATTTCTTTTTTTTTTGTGATGACGTAGCCATACGATAAGGGTAATTTCGAGCCTCTGCAGGCAGTAAATTTTTGTTTATGGGGATCACTCGAGTGTTTTATTGTTTGAGCTACAAGCAACAGAACAAATTCAATTTAATTCAAACGAATAACTTGATTTAAGCCTTTATTAGATTAAATTTTGCTTTTATTTTAAGCATCTTGTTTTTGGCACACTGGTATTTTACAGTTTAACATCAGGGTGATAATTTTCTTTTGAAATTTAAGCATTTATAAATGGAGAAACTTTCTGGTTATTTCAACGCGCCCCCAAAAAATCAATAAAACATTTGTGGCGAGCAAAGTTTTAAAAGTAAAAGCTTTCCTTATAATTACCTCTCATGATGAGTGAGCATAAATTCAAATAAATCCATGTCATTTATCTTAAACTAGCTTGTGGTTAAACGGGAAATTCATTACTAAAGATGACTCTTTCAAAAATAGATAAAACAACCAAGTTGCAGTGAATTAAATTATTAGGAAAATTTAAAAACTACTACAAATAATAGGTTAATGAACCAATATATAAAAATATTGCGTGACTACAAAAATGTAAATGTAAATCAAAGTTGAAATTGTTTATTAAGTGATTGATGGCCTGCTAAATATAATTTTGAGTAATTATTAAAATTGACAGACGAATAACAAATTAAATTTAAATTTAACCTAAACTAAGCTTACCGCCTTCAAGGCCATAGAAATTATACAAATTGAGAAAATTGAAAAATTTAAAAGCATTTTCCAAACAAAACAGGTTATAATTAAGACTTACAAATATGCCATAATCAAGGCTCAAAACAAATTAGCTAACCACAGAAGTTTGTAATAAACTTTGGCATTTCAAACAGCCTTTGTGTGGTCACGATTACAAAAAAAAAAATACAGCTGGCACTCAAAGCTCGAGTAATTATTCCCTAATGTGCATATTAGCAGGTACATCCGCAACTCAAGTCCCCACATAATCCAATCTGTTTATATGCCACCTTGCACGTAAGTTTTTATCTATCTATGTGACCTAGTCAAAGTTTCTAGCAACGCCCCCAAACGAAATATCAGCTTATGTTGTCCATTTCGAAAATAATATAATAACCATAGCAATTACGTAGCGAAAAACTTTCAAAAACTTAACAGCATTGTGCGTGTGAAACGAGGCCGCAGCTGAGTCACTTCCCCTCAAATAGTATAGCTTTGATTGCAACTCAAATGGCGACTGTATGTTCCAGTTCTCTTGCTTGACTTTGAACTTGAAACCCGACTCGTGCCTCGGCCAGTGAGAGATCTTCTGAGATCCGTGAAGGTCGGGTGATCCAGGCAACTTGTCTAAGTGATACTGCGGCGCGTGCTCAGGTCGTGGGGTCATCACCGATAAGAGGGAACAAACTTTCCACCGTTCGGGTTCCACTTTTGTTTTGTTTGAACGGTTTCATAACCATAGCTCAGTGAGATGATCAGGCCACTCAAATCGGGCGATCGCAAACATTTTTTATACCTAATAATAATTTACCTAATATATATCCTTCTGCCTTCTAGGGCCTGGCCTTTACGCATGAGGAACGTCAACAGCTGGGCATCCATGGCCTGCTGCCCTATGTGGTGCGCAGTGAGAAGGACCAAGTGGACCACTGTCGCACTCTGCTGGATCGCCTGGAGCAGAGCCTGGACAAGTACATGTACCTGATCGGTCTGTCCGAACGCAACGAGCGGCTGTTCTACAAGGTTTTGGCCTCCGACATCGCCCACATGATGCCTCTGGTGTACACGCCCACCGTGGGATTGGCCTGCCAGCGCTACAGCCTGATCCACATGAACCAAAAGGGCATGTACATCTCCATCAAGGACAAGGGACACGTCTACGATGTTCTGAAGAACTGGCCGGAAACGGACGTCCGTGCGATCGTGGTGACAGACGGCGAACGGATTCTGGGACTGGGAGATCTGGGTGCCAATGGCATGGGCATTCCCGTTGGCAAACTGTCGCTGTACACAGCTCTGGCCGGCATTAAGCCGTCGCAGTGCCTGCCCATCACCCTGGATGTCGGCACAAATACCGAATCCATTCTGGCGGATCCCCTGTACATCGGTTTGCGCGAGAAGCGTACCACTGGTGAAGCCTATGACGAATTCGTCGACGAATTTATGCACGCCTGCGTACGTCGCTTTGGCCAGAACTGTCTGATCCAGTTCGAGGACTTTGCCAATGCCAACGCCTTCCGTCTGCTGGCCAAGTACCGGGACTCGTTCTGCACCTTTAACGACGACATCCAGGGAACCGCTTCGGTGGCCGTGGCTGGTCTGTTGGCCTCCCTGAAGATCAAGAAGACCCAGCTGAAGGACAATGTCCTGCTGTTCTTGGGCGCCGGAGAGGCTGCTCTGGGTATTGCCAACCTCTGTGTGATGGCCATGAGGGCCGAGGGTCTGACTGACGAGGAAGCCAAGTCCCGCATCTGGTTGGTGGACAGGTAACTAAAACTCTGAAATCTTTAGCCTAATGCAATACTAATTATGTTGTCCTGATTTCAGCCGTGGTGTGATCATTCGCGATCGCCCAAGGGGTGGACTCACCGAGCACAAATTACACTTCGCCCAGGTCCACGACCCCATCGATACTCTGTCGGAGGCAGTGCGCAAGTTGCGTCCGAATGTTCTGATCGGAGCTGCTGCCCAGGGTGGTGCCTTCACCCAGGAGATCCTCGAGCTGATGGCCGAGATCAACGAGACCCCGATTATCTTTGCCCTGTCCAACCCAACCGTTAAGGCGGAGTGCACTGCCGAGGAGGCGTACACCCACACCAAGGGTCGCTGCATCTTCGCCAGCGGCTCGCCCTTCGACCCCGTGACGTACAACGGACAGAAGTTCTATCCGGGTCAGGGAAATAACTCATATATTTTCCCTGGAGTGGCATTGGGAGTCCTTTGCGCCGGCATGCTAACCATTCCCGAGCAGGTCTTCTTGGTGGCTGCAGAACGCTTGGCGGAGCTGGTCTCCAAGGAGGACTTGAATAAGGGTAGCCTGTATCCACCTCTTAACTCCATTGTCAATTGCTCGGTGGCCATCGCCGATGCGATTGTGGAATACGCCTATAAGAACGGATTGGCCAGCATCCGTCCGGAGCCGGCCAACAAGGTCGCCTTCATCAAGGCCCAGATGTACGATTTGGACTATCCGCGCTCCGTGCCCGCCACCTATAAGATGTAGGATGGAGATCCATTCCGTCTGCCCTCCAACAACAAAATGGAGTGGCCACCTCTGATATTCGGCACTGGCAGCGAGCAGTAACCATGTTATTTATTTTATAATGTCGCACATCTGTCGTCTAGCGTATAGCCAAGTTAGCAGCGCGCCTTACCTACCCCACTTATCCACTATCCACCCAACCAACTAGCCCCTGTTCGCAGCCCAAGAGATCATTATGGAGAGGGATGTGATGAAGGAAGAGAATGCAGCGAACCCTTTTTTATGATGTTGACTCTATGTAAATGGGATATTGATCTAATAGATATGTAAACAAATTCTATGTAATCTTGAACAACACAAACTACTCTAAGTATCTAAAAATAAAAATAAAAAAGAATTATAATCTTGAGTTTTATTGAGAAATCCCCTTTTAACAAGGTTTTTGTGGAAGTTTTTCCTATTTCTTGAAATAAATCGTAATGAATTTATTTTTTATTTATTTACATATTTGTAGTTTTTGTTGTATTTTAAAATTAAGCCAGCTCTTAAATCCTTCATCTAGTTGTATAAAAAGCTTATAAAATTAGTTTGAAAAATCGATATGTTGACTCATGTTAGCGCCGATATATTATTTAGAGATGGCAAAACAAATTATGGGTAGTGGAAACTTATACCTAATAAATTTATATATTATGATTTTCAATATAGTTTTATTTTATTATTATATTTTGTTTATAATTAACCACTTCAGTTATAATGGTAAAAATTAAATTTAATTTTATCACTCTAGGAATTTTAAAACATAATTCTTAATAACTAAATTGTAATTTCGCCAGTTATTTTATTATTGTTGCGCTCATATTATTTAGTCAAGGGAATATTTATAATAAATTATAGGAAGAAATCAAAGTTCTTGAAGCTTTCGATTATTTCAAATGGATGGAATACCCTTAGTGCGATAACAGCGTCACAAGACATATCGATAATCCTATCGGCTTGCAAATTTTTGTCGTAAACAGTGTTGTTAAAGTGTAATGTGTAAATGTAATAATAAATATAAAAGAGGAAATGGTAAAAAAAACAAGCTATCACCGAGAATGTATACATTATTACTTGCTTAAGTACATTTTTAAGGGGTGAATTTAATTTAATTATTTAAGTGTGGAATCGTACAGCATAAAAATACGACGTCTTCCAAATTATTCCGCCTTGTGCTTTTAAAACCCGCCAGATCTAGCGGGCAAATAGCTAATTTGCCAACGCTGGTGGTAAAATGCATGGAAAACCAAACTGAAAACAAAACGGCAAAAAATGCATGGGCTCAAGGTACGCCAGGAAGTAACTAATTAACTGATAATGTTAACGGTAATTATTTTTACAGCAACGTTTTGAGCTGCAACAGTTGGGGGACGACCTGAAGCAGAAGCAGGTGAGTGCCGTGCCGAAAATCAGATGCTATAAATAAATCACACACCTCGATTAATGTGCATAATAATCCGAAACAGGTAATCCAAGACAGACTGCTGCAGAAGATACTCTACTCCAAGCGCCTGCTCGTGGACCATGTGGAGGCACTGGAGCAGTGTATTCAGGAGTTGCAGGCGGCGGCTAATCTTGGCCGGCAATTGCTGACCACTCGGAATGCCTGCCTGATACTGGGTGGCACTGTGGTCGAGCATCTGATAACCCCACGCAGTGTTCGATACACCATGATCCCCTCGATCCTGATCAGTGGCACCTTTGCCGCTCTGTGTGCCGTTAAGAGCGTCTTTGTTTGCCGCAACAAAATCGTGGAGCGCAAGCTGGAGCAGCTGGTGAAGACCATCGATGAGTTCGGCAACTGCATTCGCCGGAATATGACTTACTTTCAGGAGATTATCATCATGAAGCAGGCGGAACTGATAGAGTAAGCTGCACCAAATGATGACCAATACGTAGTTGTTCATACCTTCCCACCTACAGATCCCGACAGATTGAGCGTGCCTGGGATTGCATAACAGCCGCCAAGGAGGTAACAGAGATCCTGTACGATGCGACACGCAAAATGGAGACGGACTATCCACTGCCGGCGAAGTATGGAGCTTATTATGTCGCCATGGAGGAGCTGCGGGAGTGCGAGTACTTCAAGAACAATGTCACGGACTACAGTCCCAAGCACATAAAGGTTAGTACAGATTCGGAATACAAATTAAACGCTTTTCTTACATATTATATTTTTAGGACTTTCACAACATCTTCGCCTATGTGCAGTCGCAGTATCTACTGCGCCTGGCCCTTACCATCACCACGCGTCCTTCGATCTCGCAGCTGAGCGAGGATCTCGTAAAGATCGACTGCCAAGTGCGGCAGCTGGTGCAGGAGGAGGAGCAGCACTTTAGCAATCTGGCCATGGCCATGCAGAACAGAAAGCAATTGGAATTGGCAGAGCTCAATGCGACTAAGGCGGAGCAGCAGCGGAGTGGACCCATCGCCGTGCTGCAGCATTCCTCGTTGAAGCTCAGCGCCTGCATGGTAGCCGTGGCCGGGGAGTGCCAAGCTCTGGATGTAACCCTGCAGCAGCTGACGGCCACGGAAGCGGCGAACAGGAACAACTCCAAGGAGCTGGTGGCTGTGGCCAGCAATATGCGTGGCATTGAGAACGCTCTGGCGGTGTGCTGTGACGACTTCCAGCGGCTGATGCTGGTGTACAACAAGTTTCTGCACAGTAAGCTGGACTTGGAGGGAGAATTGACGCCAAGGCCCAAAGAGGACTTGGGAGAAGAATTCCCGGAAAGCATACTCAGGGTGGAGTACTCGCAAAATGTCGATGCACCACAGCAAAAGGATGACTTCTATGCCTATATGTACGATGAGAACGAGGGGCTGGAACAGTTTGAGGCGGAGCAGCATGCGCCCTTCCCCACGCCCGAAAAGGAGCTTCTTAATTTCGAGAAGCGCATCACGAAGGGCAAATTTAAACCTGTCCTGAAACAACTCAAGGATCGCATTGATCCCATTCGTCAGGTGATGCTCGAAAAAGAGCGCGAGGTCCTCGCCTCCAAAGGCATCAATGTCGATGAGCTCTTTGGAAAGATCGAACAAGTTGAGCAGCAGCAGCAGCAGGACGACAATCGGCTGGCAGACACAACATCCTCGCCCACCTACGACTCAGCCTCCAACTCAGACTCGGACTCGGCCGACGAAGTGGCCTTCAAGCGACGCAGCAAGCAGCACAAGGAGCGTGATAACTTTGCCGAGATGCGGCAGTTTCTGGCCCAGAAGCAGGCCATTAATCTCTTCAAGCTTCCGCCACCACCGGCTGCAGCTGCTGATGAGGAGCTGCTTGAAAGCGAATGCTAGTCCATTCGGCTGTTCTTTCCGTTGGTCACATGCCTATGTACTATCTCCCTTGCTCTGGGTATTATCTGTTTAAGCATATATCGTTTATCTGGCCACCTGGGGACAGATAAGCTCCGCGCGCAAAGCGACGCTAACTCTTCGACGTACCGAACCCCAAAACCACATCCTGCCTTTTCGGTTGTTCCTGTGTTTGTGTTTCCTAGATTTCCTTCTTTTAATTCGTTACAAGCTTATAAACAATAAAGATTTTATGTAGATAAATATAGCATCTGGATAATGAGAGTGTTTTTTCTTAAAGATATATAGAAGACCAACTTTAGTTGTTTTATATATTTTTTATTACAAACTAATATGTTCGAAACTTAAGTACAATACACAAACATCGATGGCATCACTAAATACTAAGGGGTTAGGTTGATTTTTCGGGGATAAGGAATCGTGTGAAAGGAGAATCCACTCCTTTAAGGGGACCACTACTTATATACACTGATAGCTCGCACAGAAAGTCTTTTTTTTTCGGTAGGGGATTTGCTTGCAAGTGGCTGGAACACTTTCGTGGACACATCTTTGGCTCGAAACTTGTGCTGCTAACTCGGAACTGGAACTGGGAATCCGACAGGAATCCCAATCAGGCATTGGCTGCGCCTGTCGTTGCACCATTGCTGGCACCGGCATGGGCATTATTAAATTTACTGGCCACCGAGGCGGGTTGCAAATTCGAAAACTGCGACAAATTGCTGCCCCTTACGCTGGTGTAGCGGATGGGCTGCACTCCATAATCACTGCCCTTGAGCCGCCGGCGCACGCAGACCACAATGAATCCAATGACCAGGCCTATTACCAGCACCACGCTGGCAATGATGGCGGTGAGTATTATGTAACGACGGCGCAGGAATCGCGGTGGCTCCTCGTCTACGGCACGATATTTTTTGGGTATCACCATGTTGCAGATGTGCTCGGCCGTCAGGTTGGAGAGCGGAGCTCCAGCCAGGAGATAGGGGGTATCGCAGCGGGCCTCGGTGCCATCAGCTTCCTGTTCGATGTGGGAGAGGCCGGACAGCTCCAGTGCCTTAAAGAGTTCGCAGCTGCAGTACCAGGGATTCCCGGAGATACTCAGGCGGCGAAGTCGTGGCCAGGGCTCTTGGATAGTACGGTTGCTGCTGGCGGAGGCACTGTTGTTATTTTCCTTGAGAACCAAGGTGGTCAAAGCATTCCGCGACAAATCCAACTGCGACAAATTACGACTGCTTAGCAAGTCACCCAGTTCCACATTCTCCAGTTTGGGATTCCTGGAGCAGTCCAGCTGTTCCACGGCTGGCAGGATCAAAGCCCCCTTTTCCACGCTTCGTAAAGCAGGCAAACTGCTGATATTGAGGCGTTTTAAGGCCACCAAGCCTTTGAAACTGTTCTCCTTTAAGCTGGGAAACTGATTCCCCGCCAGATTCAAATGGACCAGAGACTTGCCCAATTGCTGGAGGCTCGCAGGAACCACGGTGAACTCATTGCCGGACACATCGAGGATACGTAGACTGCGTAGTTTTGGGAAAAGCTCCGCAGGCAGGGACATCAAACCATTGTGGGAGAGATCCAGACGCTGCAATGTGGTCACCGATCCCACGGCGGCCGTCGTGGCAGCATCCAGGATACTGAGCTTATTGTAGGCCAGGTTCAACTTGACCAAATGCGGAGTATGCTCGAAGAGTAGACGTTCTAGCCTAGCTATCCTATTGTGGCTCAAGTCCAGATCCTTCAAGCCAATCGGCTCGTAGTTAGTATTGTTCCAGGGACCCCTAAAGAGACCTGGGTTCAAGACATTGTCGGTCAGCTCGTTCCAGCTCAGGTACAGCGCCTCCACATTGGGCGCATCCATGAAGAGCGGAGCCTGAAGATCCTGAAGACCGCAGTGTCGGCAGGAGAGCGTTAAACTGGCATTCGTGGCCGGCAGTTGTTGGAGCAACCTGATCCGATTGCCCGAATACGAGACGACGATCTCTGTGGATGCTCCACCAGCCACTGCCTGGCTACCGAACTCCTCCGGCCAGCGGGCGAGAATGTGCTCAAAGTTCCTCACCGAACAGTCTAGGTTGAAGTGTGTCCTGTGATCACTGTCCTGGCTGCTCAGGCACATGCACGTCTGGCAGATATTGGCTACAGGCTGGTATGGAATGTCCTCATGTTGACTGTGGACTCCAGTGGCCAGGAGCAGTGATATCCCAGCAAGGAGCTGTAGATAAAAGAAAGTTTAATTTATTTTTAAGAAAATAAATGTTTAAAATTAATTTTTAAAATCTAACAATAAATTGCTAATATTAATTAAAAGTTAAGGAATTTATAAGATCATTGTTCTGAGGTTTTTATTATTATCAGGAAATCCGGAGACAATTTCTGATTACAATCTAAAGAAAGCATTAATGCCTGATTACACCGCAAGGTTATTGCCATTTTTTTGGGTTCATGTACTTCCTTGGTTATTTTTGGTAGAAAAATATAAACAAAAAACCAAATAGAATGCGCTGACTAAGACCTTATTTCAGGCAAACTTTTCCCGGAAAACCAAACCGAGTAATTCGCACGTGTCTATGGTTTGATGTGTGTTTTTATTGCATTGACTTTTCACGACTAATGTAATATCTGATTACGATTTCGAGCACTTTCCCATATGTCACGATTAACCAGAAGTTCAAGTGGTCAGACAGAGACAGTCATTTTAGAGATCGGTGACGCCAACCTTGGATGAAAGCTGAGTATGGGAAGCCAATGTTTGTATTTCTTTTAAATTATTATGTTCACAACATATTGAAATATAATTTAAGGTATACATATAATATATCTGATCAGCTTAGGTTATATATCTCCCTCTGTTGTTTCTTCCACGGTGTCCACTTCAAAGAATATAAAATCAAGTAGGAGGATCTCAAGTTCAGCCAGCCAACAGAGACAAAATATATGCTGGGCTAGCCTTTTACAGCCCTTCAGGGCTTTCAAATAAATTATATTCGGGTAATTTTTCATTTTACATTCTATATTCTGAAGGAAAACTCAAACGGAGTGGTTTGAAATAAATAGTAAAATCAAATATGACTCACATTGATTGACTCATAGAGATCGCTGATAACCTATGACATCCTACTGATACTTTTCAGGCACTAATTGCGTGTCCAGAAGGAGGTCACCATAATAAAAAGGTCTTCCCACACTCTTCAGTGGTTCCAATGGGAGAAGCCATATTGAACACACACTCCCTTCCCAGCACTATCTGGGCCCAAAAGTATGTGCGATAAGATAACGATAATGTTTTGAAAAGACTGAAATATATACTTTTTACTCACCAACAGCAAAAATTTGTACTTCATTGTAGTTGCAGTATCGGTATCGGTTTCGGTTTTGGTTTTTTCTCTGTTCTAACCGCCTCGTGTTCGGATAGTAACTTTATCTGTATCTGTTGCCGTGTTTCTTCGAAGTGCACTTTGTGTTTTGGCTTAGGTTGTTTTTTGTTTGTAATTTTTTTGTTGTCTTCAACTCGTTTTTCTTTATTATTGTTATTTTTTGTAGCGCGGAGCGGATCACACCGCTTGCTTCGGAAAATGGAACTAAATTAATGAATCAAGCCGCCATGGGCATTATTTTGTTTTTGATTAGATATCGGCAGGACTGAGAAAGAGAGAGCGCCTCTCTATTTAATTCTCATTCTCCAGCGGGATCTTGCACTCTCCGATTCTCCCAGCGTCGCCGTGGACTTTGTTATCTGAGAAGAATCATTCAAGTAAAAGTGAATTCTAATTGAGTCATCGACATCTCAAGTCTACTGTTTTTCGGTCTCTCCAATATCTTCTCAGCAAGGTCGTCTATACGTCTTAACGGGCTTTCTTTCTTTCACCTGAACTTATTGGACAGTAGCTATTGCACATAGCTCTTTAAACAGAGAACATCATATACAGTCGTACTTCCCAAGTGGGATTTTCTGAATATATAATATACCTTTTTAATCTATAACTTTTAAAAGATTATGGAAGTTAAAAATATTTTTCTATATTTTAACTTGAAGAAATAACAAGAAGTATGACTTATGACAAAGGTAGAATTGGAAACTAATGATATAGCTTAATCTTTGACATAATTATACAATATTCAATGAATCCTGTAACTTTATAAGGGTGATCTCATTAGAAAATTAAAAAAATATACATAAATATGAGTGATGAAAAACATAAAATCAGAGACTAAAGAGATTACAGCTAAATCCTTTTCAGACTGTTCTATATTCAATAAAACCTATAAATTGCAAGTGTAATTTTCATTAATTAATAACATTTAAAGGGAAGATTTAAAGAAGAAAGAATAAAAACCTTGCCAAGGTTTGTTTTTAATGTAAACATTTCCTGGAAGCTTCTATCACATTTTCTAAATTCTCTTAAATTATTCTCTTTATAGAAGTAAGACTGTATTGTATTTAAGCCAGCAGATGATTGTTTATAGATAAGATATTATTACTTTGTCTCTCGATGTGGCAACAAATGGCGTTGAAAGCCAAAAGAAACGTTGACTCAACCGAGAGAGCTGCTGATTCTCTTTTTCGAACACTTTTGATTCACTTGCTGGGGCAGCGAGGGGAGGATCGGATCCAATTAGATGCCATCGCAATTATTATTGCAAGTGTCACTTGGTTTCATTGAACTTGCCCCTCCTCTCCGCTGGCGAAGGGCGAGAATGGAGAATTGAGCTGTTCGCAGCTGCCGACGATGAGAAAGGCAAACAAGAGATGTTTTGTGGCCTGGAATTGGTTGCATAAACAAGCGGACAGACGACGAAGGCGACGGACCACAGCCACACCAGACCAACATTGCCCAGACACTTGTGAGTCACGATTGCGCCGTTGTTGATGTACAGTGGATACTTTTTGGCAGGGAAAACCATTGAAAATTCACAAATTAAAGACATTAGACTTTCAAGTAATTATTTTCGTCTTAAAAATATGTAATATTCTTGAGGAAAAATATGGCCAAGTCTTTAAAAGTTTTCTTAATAAAAAATAATAAAAATAAAAACAAATCCAAAACTATATTTAGGATATAGCTGAGATCCCTGAACATGTATCCACCGTAGATCTTCCACTCGCAAGAGATTTGATCTCCGTCGCCTCTCCAACAATTGGATTTCTTTCAACAAGCCGCAAGAGCCCAGCATGAGGATGAGATCGAGACGCGCGGTTTGGGACTCCTTCATGTGCTTACTAGTCGTTAGTCTGTGTTTAATTTAATGATTAAGGCCTTTTGCATACTCCGTGAACTGCACGCGACCCAACCGCACATGCAACCACACAGCACCGACTGCAAAATGAAACCCGTTTTTGTGTGGCTGCGGTTACGGATGATGTTGATGTTGATGTTGCTGCTGCTGCGGCGGATGTTCCTACTGTTGTTGCACTTTTGCAGCTGCCGCCACAATGATGCTCATCCTCGTCTCGGGGACCACGCGCGAAGGCTGAGACCGAAACCGAAAGCGGAAATTCTCCAAAGAAGCAGCGAACGAACGATGTCTACCTGCCTGCCGCTCGAATCGAACTGAACGAATGAACACAAACCGAAACTGGATATTTGCTGCTGCTGCTGGATCGAGATTCCCGTTCCCGTTCCCATTCCCAGTCCCACAAAATGGACACAGATCTACCTCCCGTTCCCCCCTCGAAGCAAATAAACCGGTCGGGGGCTCGCTGGCCGAATTTGAAATCCAAACTGCGGCACATTGTTTATGCCACACAGTGCTTTCTGATGGGGGCAATATTAATGGCTGGCAGCTGCACTTCTCTCTCTCTCTAAATGTCATGACTCCAAACGGAAATCAAGTCGTGCTCCAGTCATTTCCTCCACAGTGCGGCAGTTTACAAACATTAAAGAGACGCAATACGCATTGGTTAAAGACAAACACATTTATAACTGAAAGAAAAACAGAGCCTATCTAGAATGCATATAGTAGTCGATGGCCGTGGAGAAGGCGGCGAATCCCAGTCCTCCAATAATGCCCGCCTTGATGCCAGCTCGCAGGCCAATTAGTCCTCCAGTGATGCCTCCGGCAATGGTGCCATTCTTCCAATCCGTCACAGCTCGATGCTGCAAGATCGCAAAACAGAAGAAAGTAATATTAAATACATTTTTGAGGCTTAATTATGTTTTAAAGAAAGCTTAAAAAGTAGTAAAATATATTAAAAATAATAAATAAGACCAAAATGGTTCCTAATTTTCTAATTTTAATATTTACGACTTTTTTACTTATATTTTAATTTAAAAAAAGTCCTTGAAAACAACAAAAGTTAACTCACACTCTCGATGGTGCACTCGACGGCGGAAAACATCATTCCGATCAGGGCGAAATTCTTGGCGTAGGAGTGGGTGGTGCCCCGCATTTCACGGAAAACCTCGCGGGCCGTCTGTTTCTTTGTATTGGCAAAGGGATCTGCCATGCTGGGATTAACAGAGGCACTGAACAGGCCCAAGGCAGCACCAAGACCATAGCCTGGAAAAACGATACAAATAATATAATGATTATTCCAAAACTCAAATTAAAAAGAATTGGACCGTCCAAAAACCCACCCATAACACAGGCCATGGCGCACTTGAAGCCACAGCTCTCCACCCCCGTCTCGATGAGCTTCTCCTCATTGGTCTTGATCTTCACCGGGCCGTTGCTCGAGGGGATTACGATGTTCTCGCGGTAGCGATGCAAATTGCCCACAAACTGCATGGCCAAATGGTCCAGAGCTGCATCGTCGAACATCCGTGGCTTCTGGGCTGGCGCCTGAGGAGTTTCCTGCAGGATTTCGGCGTTGGGCGTGAAGGACATCTTTGCCGAAAGGCTTTTACTTTAATTTCTATTCAGAATAACAGTTTTTACGGGTCAAACGTGTTTTGGTAAAAAAAAAAACCGAAATTATTATCACATCGCCGAACAGCTGTTTCCAGGGACGGTCTAACACACCTTCGACTTTTTATCGATAGGCAGAAAAATACCGAAAAAACGAGTGTGGTATTTTCAAAAATGATTATCGCCGGGAATCCCCTTTTAAAATTTATAGTTTTTAGTTTATAGTTTTCCTTAATTTACCTAGGGCCTTTACAATTCCAAAAATGTTATTTATAACATGCAAACCAATATATTTTTTTGTTTTGAATATAGGGAAAATACAAAACTACAAATGTTGGCAGCTAATAAATATGGACAACCGCCTTACTGGACGCTCGAATGTCCTTTTCCATTATTACGACCCGTTTGGACATTTCGGCGTTCAAAGCCTTCAACTTTTTGACACTCTTGCGCTTTTCCTCGACAAAGTCCATACACTTGTCGTAGTCGTACATCAGAGAGACCTTGAAGAGCAGACCACCTTTGACCTCCAGCCGGGCGCGCTGGGCCTTCAGCTGGGCATGCTCCCACTGGAGTTTGGTGAGCTCCTCCCGCAACTGATTACGTCGCTTTAACCTTTCATCATACTTTAACTTGGCCTTTGCCAACGAATATGAGATCATGTCCCGCTTCTCGCGGGCGCAGGTCTCCTCGATCATTGACTTTTTGTAGTTTGACTGCATGAACAACACATCCTTGCTTTTTTCTGTTGGCGACCATTAAAGGATGTATTATATTTAGGATGTATTATATTTACCTTCTAATTGTTTTCCCAAATGTATAATGGACTCATTGGCGCAAAGCATTTGAGAAATGGTCAAGGTGTCAGTGATCATTTCAAATTTCGCAACTTTCTAAAGTTCATACAAAGAAATTAAGTTATGTACTTTACATATGAGATTCTAGAGGACAGCACCCACCTGATCCACAAAGGCCAAATTGTGGAGGTTCAAATTGAGTTCGTAGCGCTTCTCGCTGACCTGATTCCGCATATCCTGCATGCGTCTGAGCTCGTTGTCCAGAATCCGCCTCAGCCGTTCCATATCCCGGCGGACGAGGGTCCTGCGCATTAATCCCTCCAGCCGCTGCTCCTCGTTGAAGGAGAGCACAGTCAGCGAGCTTAGCTCTATCATCGCCTTGTGCGTGTTGGTGCCATAATTGATTTTCATAAGCTTCACACGTTCCCTTAGGCTATCGACCACATTGAGGGCTTGGTGGAAGCGCAGGCGCTCTTTGGCAGCATCCTCTGGCGTTAAAACCAAGAATGGCGATTTCTTGTGGTTGCGGCGGAAGTACTCGCTGATAATGCCGTTAATCTGGGTGTTTAGGCAATGCTCATATAAGTAGTTGTCCACATCTTCAGCAAGTCTCCAAAGCATCTTGTTCTTGTCCAGTGTTTGTTCCGATAATGCAGCTTTTTCAAGTTTTTCCACCACCGTAGCGATGAGATTCTCCACGAAGTCGGCGGTAAGCCGATACCAGAAGGGCTCTTCGGCCACAACCACGTTTTCAACAAAATCGCTAGGAACCGCCTCCAATGCATCCGTAAACATGGCCATGGTGTCGTCTTCTTCCTCTTTAATGACAACACGTTTCTCGGTAACCTCCTGATCATCCGGTATGTCGTCTATAAGTGAATTCTCCGACTCGCTTTCTTCCTCGACACCAGCTATTCCGGCATTCGCTGTGTTTTGGTCGGATGACGAGCCCTCGGACTCGTCCTCGCCATCGAAAGCGTCTCCTTTCACAAAGTGTCCTTCATCCTTCTCTTCAGTGGCTTTCTTCTGGTCATCGGGTATGGGCTCTGCCTCCTCAAACGATATGTCTAGGGATATGTCCGAAATGCTGGGCAAGCTCTCGAACTCGCGGAGAAACGTGCCCTTGATCGATTTCTGCAGTCTTGGCCGAGGTGTATCCTCGCTGGAGACAGACTCCGCATCCTCTTCTTCACCACCTACCGACCCTGTTGGTTCCATATCATCCAACTCGTTGAGCACGGCCTTAAGATCAGCGAACTCGTCAGAGGACTGTGCGCCTTCATCGGATCCTAACAAGTGGTAGATTTCGTGGGAGCCTTCTTCCTCCTCCTCTCTGGCTTCCTTCGCTGCCTCTGCTTCTGCAGCCTCTAGGGCTTCTCTCATTGCCGCCTTTTCCTGGTCAAGCATTTTCTTAATCTTTTCGAGCTTCTGGCGCTTTCGTTCACTGGCGGTCACGGGACCCGTGGCTTTTACTTCAGGCTCCTGACCATCCTCCAATGGCTGCTCTTCACCTTCTCCGACCATTTCCACTGGCTGTTCCTCTCCTTCGGCTGGGAGGTGTTCCTCAATGGCCTCGACTATTTCGTTTTCTACTAGAATTTCGGCTGTCTCTTCTGTACGAATTGCCTCTGGCAAAGGAGCTTCTTCGGGAGCTGCAACCTCGTCAGGAGGCGCTGCAACCACGTCAGCAGGCGCTGCAACCTCGTCAGCAGGCGCTGCTGGCGGTACCTCCTCGGTCGGGTTATCAGCCATTTTTGTATGGTTTAGAGTTGAATTCAAAATATATATATATATATATATATACTATATTGCTGCTTTTTTGGTAGTTATGTATGTGCTACTTGGGACTAGAACGAATAATGACTACAGACCGATGTAAAAGGCCAAGGCTGCTGGAGTCGTCTTATATAATACATTTTATTGCTATCACAAGTTAATCATACACATATACCACGTCGAATAAAAACAAAAGAATGTTGCAATTGTCTGTAATGGAGTTGAATGCAAGCTCTATATATCTTTGGCCAAATCTCGGCTGGGGCGGCGCTAGTTGAAGGCATAGAGCAGCAACAGGATCACACAGAAACCAATTACGGCGCCCAGGATCAGCGAATCGCGCCGCTTCTTGATATTAATGCGCTGAATGAGACTGAAATGTTAAAAAAAAAAAAAAATTAATATAAATAAAGATAAGAACTTACTTTCGTAACAAATAAAATATCATCGAAAGCAGATCCTTTTTTATTGGCTCCTCTAAACAAACAAAACTGGATAAGCTATGCTTAAAAGATTTTTGGCAAAGAAAAATCGTTGTTATTTACGAGCTCCGGATATCGAGAGACTGATAAAAGGCAAATGAGTCATATTGGAAATATGGTGTCATTACGAGGGGCGGATTTATAGAAATCTTAAACCAGTTGTTGTGCTCCTTAATGTTCTCTTCTTACCTGGAAATCAGCGGGAACCGATTAGAGATATCGTTGAAGCGCGTCTGCAGCCTTTTAAAGGCCTGTCGCTGGGCATGCAGGTGATCCCGCGTTTCGATAGCAATGTTGATCTGATCGTTTACCAGGTGACTGGCGCTATTCAGGTGACCGCTCTCCTTCAGGTACATTTCACGTCGACTCAGACCCGAAATGGAGGGGCTGCCGGAGCTGGTGGCCAGCCCAGAGCCGCGGAGCAGCTCCTCTCGTTCAATGCGCATCGTGTGATTGGCGCAGATTTTGTTGAACTCTTGCCGATAGCCCTGGAGGATCTCCCGGTGTCTTTGGAGGGTGTGCATGGCGGCAGCTCCTGAAGCGGGAAGGTCCGACATGGCCTCGTTTAGCGAAGATAACTGGAAACGGAGAGTTTTGTTTAAATTGCAATTAATTGTTTTTGTAAAGAAAATCAAAGAGGTGAACCTGTTCCATCTGGAGAACAGAACTAGCCCAGAGGTCCATAGCCCACCTTATCCAGCATCTGTTCGATCTCCTCTGAGAGCGAGTCGAAGACATGCTCGCCCAGGAGCGGTGATGTGTCAATGGCACCACTGCTACCTCCCAGACCACCGCTGCCGCCACTGCTACCGCCTCCGCCGCTGCCAGCTCCGATTTTGCTGAAAGCCACCAGCTTCAGGTCGATCTCATTTTCTAGGCTTCTGGCGCTCTTACGCAAAACTGTGCGGGAGAATTGAAGGTGGGGTGTCGATCATGGGTGAGTAATGTTACAGGTGTACCATCATTCCAGGGCTTACCATCATAGCTGGATGCTCCCATTTGTCCAAAAGTTTTCCTTTATTTGTCCGACTTTCGTGTGGCAAACAGTGTGGCCAGATCACAGGCGGGGACAAACAACGCAGGTGCTGAATTTTGAACTAATTTAGCTTATTTGTTTTTAGCAAATAAATGTATATTTTGAATGTGCATTTGTATTTTTTTATTACTATATATTTTTATCCTTGTTGCCGTTTTGCGTTTTATTTTAAGAAAATATTCTAGTTAGCAATTAAATACCAAGCCCTACCATTTATCGATAACAACCGATTGCTGTGCTGCATCGGTCACACTGTTGCGCGTTGCCTTTTGTTGCCGGCGAATTTTTTAACTTTGTTTAGCTCTTTATTTCGGTCTTTTTAGCACCATGTCACAGGCCACAAACGATGTACGCGTGCCGGACGAAGAAAGCGATCTTCTGCAGATCAAGCCACTGTAAGAAAGACTTGGTTTGGATGGATCAAGGCAAAGAAACTGAGTGGTGAAATGTGCTCTTTTTTTCAGTGGAGCTGGCCAGGAAGTGGGACGCTCCTGCATAATGCTGGAGTTCAAAGGCAAAAAGATCATGCTCGACTGCGGCATACACCCGGGACTGTCCGGCATGGATGCCCTGCCTTATGTGGATCTCATAGAGGCGGACGAGATCGACCTGCTGTTCATTTCACAGTGCGTATTACCTTAGATTGTCATTATCTCCGGTGTTTATAGAAGATTGTTTTCAATGACAGCTTCCACTTGGACCACTGCGGCGCCCTGCCCTGGTTCCTGATGAAGACCAGCTTCAAGGGTCGCTGCTTCATGACCCATGCCACCAAGGCCATCTACCGCTGGATGTTGTCCGACTACATCAAGATCAGCAATATATCCACCGAACAGATGCTATACACGGAGGCGGACTTGGAGGCCTCCATGGAGAAGATCGAGACAATCAACTTTCACGAGGAGCGGGACGTAATGGGCGTCCGTTTTTGCGCCTATAATGCTGGTCATGTCCTGGGAGCTGCCATGTTCATGATCGAAATTGCTGGCATTAAGATCCTGTACACAGGAGACTTCTCGCGACAGGAGGATCGCCATTTAATGGCCGCAGAAGTGCCGCCCATGAAGCCAGACGTACTGATCACAGAGTCCACCTACGGCACTCACATCCACGAGAAGCGCGAGGATCGGGAGAACCGCTTTACCTCCCTGGTGCAAAAGACAGTGCAGCAGGGCGGCCGGTGCCTGATTCCTGTCTTCGCGTTGGGTCGTGCCCAGGAGCTGCTGCTCATCCTGGATGAGTTCTGGTCTCAAAACCCAGAGCTGCACGAGATTCCCATCTACTACGCCTCCTCGCTGGCCAAGAAGTGCATGGCTGTCTACCAGACCTACATCAATGCCATGAACGATCGCATTCGCCGGCAGATAGCTGTAAACAATCCGTTCGTTTTCAGGCATATCTCCAACTTGAAGGGCATTGATCACTTCGAGGACATCGGTCCCTGTGTCATTATGGCCTCGCCTGGTATGATGCAGTCGGGATTGTCGCGCGAGCTCTTCGAGAGCTGGTGCACGGATCCCAAGAACGGAGTCATCATCGCTGGCTACTGTGTGGAAGGAACTCTGGCCAAGACCATACTGTCCGAGCCGGAGGAGATCACAACGCTGTCGGGACAGAAGCTGCCGCTCAACATGTCCGTGGACTATATCTCATTTTCGGCTCACACGGACTACCAGCAGACCAGCGAGTTCATCCGCTTGCTCAAGCCCACACATGTTGTGCTCGTCCATGGCGAGCAGAACGAGATGTCGCGCCTGAAGTTGGCCCTGCAACGGGAATACGAGGCGGATGCCAGCACCGACATCAAGTTCTACAATCCGCGCAACACACACGCCGTCGATCTTTACTTCCGGGGCGAGAAGACCGCCAAGGTGATGGGCAACCTAGCTGCCAAGAATCCCGAAGTGGGCAGCAAGCTGTCCGGTGTACTGGTTAAGCGAGACTTTAAGTACCATTTGCTGGCTCCCTCCGATCTGGGCAGTAAGTACTCCCATAATCCCTACAATCCAGAGTCTCCTAATAACTCCTTTGCAGAATACACGGACATGAGCATGTCGGTGGTCACCCAGCGCCAGTCGATCCCCTGGGGCAGCTCCCTGGCCACCCTGGAGATTCTTTTGGATCGAATCGGAGCCGGATGCGTGGAAACAGTGGAGGCAGATCGCAAGTTGCGTGTCTTTGGCTGCATCGAGCTGACTGTGGAGCAGAAGATCATAGTCATGGAGTGGCAGGCGACGCATGTGAACGATGTCTACGCGGACGCTGTCCTCGCCTGCATCATGCAATCGGAACTCGGCGGCACGAACCTTAAGGGGGCCACCAAGCAGACCAAGTCGGAGGACTCAATGTTCCGGGACTGCCTAATCGAGACCCTGCAGGATACCTTCGGCGACACCTGTGTGCCCAAGATGTTCAAGGGCGATTTGCTGCCGGTGACGGTGAGCGGCAAGCGGGCTGAGATCAATCTGGAAACTTTGGTGAGTGTCCTCGAAAAAGCGACTCAAGTTAGGTCGTTCTCTATTTCTGTCCTACTTTCAGGCTGTTCATTGCGCCGAGGACGACGTACTACGGCAAATGCTTAACACAACCGTGCAGAAGCTGCACCAGACCCTCGTCTCCGCCCACTGATTGCGCCATTCCAAAAATATACCTGCTGATGTGAAGATGTTCGCTTTATTGTTTGATTTCCAGAAATATATAATTAACGCTGGGTGCTCTTGGCAATCTGTTCCTTGAGCATCAGGATGCTGGCCCTTTGCTCGGACGGCAGCTGGGCGATCTGCTCGTCGGACAGCTGCAGCACCTGCATGATAAGAGCGGCCTTGTCCTGATCAGAGGCATCGGAGGGCAGAACTCCGTGTGCGCCCAAACGACTCTGCAGCTGCTGGGCAGCAGCCTGTTGCTGTTGTGTCGGCGGCGGCGCCTGAGGAAGCACCTGCGGAGGCTGCTGTGGCGGCCCAGGTCCGGCCCTCAGGCGTGGATCCATGGGGCGTTGACGCGGATCGCTGGGATAGGGAGCAGGTGGGGCCTGCGGAGGACCCTGCTGCTGCTGGTTGGGCATCTGGGCTCGGGTCCGGGGATCCATTAGCGGGGGCGGCACTGGATTCGGCATCACTCCTCGTAAGTCCTGGTCCATGCCACGACCCATCATCCTGGGATCTAGCGGCATGGGTCCGCCCGGCACCATGCGCAGGTCGATGTCGTTGGAGTGCACGTTGGTGGGGAAGCCAGGTCCGGGCACGGGCATGGGCGGTGGGGGTGCCGATTGTTGCATTTGCTGCTGCGGAATCTGCACCTGTGGCGGCATCTGGACCTGTTGCTGCTGCTGCTGGCCCATCATGGATAATCCGCCGGATCCCTGGTGTGGATTGCCGCCTAGCACGGGCGGCATCTGGTTGGCCTTAAAGAGCATGCCCAGCGCCTGTTGCGGGTCCACGATTCGCATGACCACCATGGCCTGGAGCAGGGCATACGCCAGCTGTGGATTCAGCATAAGCATCTGGCGAGCCTCCGACGGATTGCTGACGATACACAGCTTCATTTGCTTCATCAGCTCGTACATCTGCTCTGGCGGTAGCGAGGCCACCGTCTTGGTGATCAGCTCGGGGGCGTCCTCGGGCTCACACGGCTCGCCGTACGGATTCTCCACCTGGGGACCCTGCAGCAGCTGCTGCATCTCCATGCGCGACTTCTCCGTACAGGCGTTGTCCACCCGCAGCGTCCGGCCGCCGATCTCATACCCGTTGAGGTTTCGCATTGCACTCAGAGCCGTCTCCTGGTCCTTGTACTCGCAGAAGCCGAATCCCTTGGGCTTCCCGCTTTCCCGGTCGAACACCAGCCTGCAAGGATAACATTTTAGTCGAGTACTATCAGCAGCCTCTCCTGGGCTTGCGGAACTCACTTGAGCGAGAGCACCGGGCCCACTTCGCTGAAGATCTCCTTGAGCTTCTCCTCGGTGGCCTCGTAGGGTATGTTGCCCACGAACACCGACCGCATGGACTTGTCCATGATACTCTGTTCCTGCGCCTTATCTGCCATCGTGTCTATTTGTTATTATTAAATGCACAAAACACAGCAAACGTTGGCTCCCTAAATTAAATTTCCCTGAAAAGCGGCGCGTTCTGCTTCTTCCTGCCCGAAAATGTCCCAAACCAGGGCAGCAGCGTAAATATGGCTAGGGCTAAAAATATCGATATATCGATTAATTTTAATTAAACTTGTTAAAATAAGATTTGCTTTTTAATTAAATAAATAAACAAGAAAGGAACGTTAAAGTTTATATACAAACTTGAATTGGATCATTAACAATCGATTAAAAACTACTAGGGATATATAAAATATATATTTATTTACCATTTTTTATTTTTAAATTTCAAAAACATTAATTTTATATTGAATATTTTTAATTTGAAATATTTAATAACATTTAAATTATAAATATATATATGATGAACAAAAACAAAGTAATATTAACTTTCAACTGTACTTACAAATAAATATATTTACCGTTTTACAGCTACTGCAAGGATATCAATTTTATATATTTTTATATATTTCTATATTTTAAATATTTATATATTTTATATTATAAAAATACCCAGCATCTCGCCTGAAATGAATTTATCGATGTATCGTCTTTTTTAAAAACATCGTTACGCGATAGCAACATCGATAACATTTGCAGCTCTATTGGTGTTGTAATTTTTCTTGTCGCAAGGTGAAAACGAATAAACTGTTTTTAACCAGTGAAAATTTTAACAAAATGCTCGATTTGCATGCCAAATTGTAGTTTAAGGAGACCTGCATCCGGTTTCGTGGCGGTAGTAGTGAAAATCTGACCCAAGTGCAAGAAAAACGTGCTTGAAAATTTTACTTTGTGTGTAGCCGAGGCACTCGCAGTCATGCACACATACGCGTACGCACTCCAACACACGCTCACGCACACACACAGAGGGAGATAAACGCAGCGATGGCCTCGCAGTTGTACTCGCACATATAAAAGCTCGCTTGTATATTGGAGAAGGAGCGTACAAAGCAGAAGACGAGAGGAAAGATTTCTGTGTCATTGAACGAGGCGACGACCAGAAAGAGAGCCAGGAGTCCCTACTCCTCTCCAGCGGCTGCAGGTGCATACTCATTTCAAGGATACCCCCACACATCTATAGGGGCTCTCTCCCAGAGCAGCTCGTCTGCTCTCTGCCTCTGTCTCTCTCTCTCACTCTCTTCTCCCTCGATCGATACTGGTAATTAGCTGGCGTCCTCTCCTCGGGAATTGTGGTTCGTTCCATGGACGAAATCGATTCCAATGGGTGGCGAACAAAAGCGGAAATATGTGCATTTTTAATTCGCGTGTGCGTCTGTGTAATAATAAGCATAATAAGCACAAACAGCAGTGAAAAGCGTTAAAAAAAAGAAGAACAAAATCGGACAATAAGTGGCAAGATCAGCAACATTAACGCACACACACACTGCCAGACACACGCACAGCGAAAAAAGGTTTGCTGTTGTTGGAATTAACATTTAACTTGAACCCAAAATTAAATGCAACGCACTTTCTGTTCTTTTATGTTTTTTTCGGTGTTTGTGTGTGTGCTTAGGTGTAGGTGTTGTGTTTGTGTGTGCGAGTGTGCCGGTGTGTGTGTAACCTTTGCAAAGGAAAAATCAATAGCAACAGACGTAGACATTTGTTTGCCGCTGTTTATACACGATGTACATGTGCAGCCCTCCTATCATCCTGTCCTGCTCTCATCTTTGCCCATCTCCGTCAGGAAGAGCAACCCTTGCAGACCCCAAGTTCAGCCAGTTAGCCAGCAGACCCAAAAATAAGAAATAAAAACGAAAAAAAGCTAGCAAATATTGTACTATAAATAAAAGCAAGAGTTGGCTGAACCAGCAGCCGCAGCAAAAGGCGAAACAAAAAAGCCAATAACTCGTCATCGGGCTGGGTCGTTGCCTCCGCTTCCGATATTTCCTGTGACTCTTGCGAGTCGCCCTTTTCCAGCGAATAAAAAAGCTGCTCCAGAAGTGGTCGCCCTCCTCTCGGGGCCGGCATTCCAATCCGCCATTGCTCCCTGGGCGATTAATGACCATTCCACTAATGATATTCCGCGACATCCTTTCTTTACAATATTGCTTAGTCGTATAGTTATAATTATTCGTTATTACAAAAAGCTACTTTTAAACAAATCAAGTTTGATATTGTAATTTAAAAAATGTTAATCCTAACCGAATTTAATGGTGTGATAGGATGTCTAGATATTTTTTTTTTAATTTTAATTTCGTCTTGAATTATAATATTTTATAGAGTCAATTCAATTCCATTAAGGTTCTTACAACCTTTTAGTTTTTATGCAAAAATTAATTGTTCTAAGTTATTCATCAATTTTGTATTTACATACTGTTTTTTTAACAGGACTTAGTTAAAAGTAATCAAAGTTAAGATAATTTAAGTGAAATTAATTGAATTAATCAATAAAATAATTAAAATTCAAATCAATGCATTTAGAAGGACGAATATATGTTTTAAAAAGTTTTAATTTCGTCTTAAATGTATACTTATTTATTTCATATTAAATTTTGGATATAGAAATAGTTTCTCTCAGAATCTTGCAACCTTTAAATTAATTATTTATTTTTTTTATTTAGTCTTTTAATAGACCTTCGTTAAAAGCAATCATAGTTCAGGTAATTGGAGTGAAATAAATTTAAATAATCAATAAAATAATGAGAATTCCAAAGAAGAAGGATTTCTTCTGCCCCAAATATTTAATTATGATACCAGATCAAATTATTTAATAATTTATAATCCTTTCCATTCGCTCCTCCGCCCCTTTAAACTTTTATTGGTTTTGGTGAACGCCCAGTTTGTGTAAAGATTACGCTGCACGCATTCCTCGGATAACCGAACGGCGCATTCTTCGTGTATCAGCTTACCTACCGGGGGCGCTGATATCAGAGCGCGGATTAGAGCTCTGGGCCAGGCGGCAACGAGAACGTCTGGCACTCATATACTGACATTCCTTTTTTTCATTCTCCATTGCAGCTTGCCCGAGTCGGATCACCAGAGGATTGAGCACGATGGCCACTAAGCCAAGAGAACACACTGTTTTATGACTCTGAGCGGCAGTCCATCCAGACAACCGTCGCACTAGAGCGCAAAGGTAGCCATCCAGGGAACAGGACCTGCCAGAGAGAGCGAATAGCTACCGAGAGAGAGCCAGACAAAGGTCAATCAAAAGCCGTCAACATGGTGGACAACAGCGTTCAGTGCCCCGTGTGCACCCTGTACCTGCATGCGGGTATGAATCTCTCCGATCACTTGGAGACTCATCCCAAGGAACAGGTGATCAAGGCGCTGGTCCAGATGACGATTGTCGGTGGCGGTGGCAACAACAGCATGGGAAGCGCCCTGGCGGCCGCTATGATGTCAGGAGGCGGAGGAGGCGGTGGGTCTGATGGCGGAGAAGCCAGCCTGGCAGATGATAAGTCTGCCTTCACATTGTCACCACCCTGTGGCGATGTGAAACCAGTTGTGGCCACCAGCCCGCCAGCGATGTCCAAAACCATATCAGCTGCAATGCCCGTAGTGCCGCCAGCACCACCGTTGCCGCCGCTCTCCTCCGCCAATGCTGCACCCTCCTGCACATCCCCTTCTGCAAGTAGCAGCACTAGCAGCAGCAGCAATCTGAGCAATCCACCGATGAAAGCACTGAAATGCGCACCGCCCACGACTGAGGCGCGAGCCAACACATCCGCACATCCCACCATAAGCAGCGTATCCACACAGTATCAGCCGTCGCTGGTCGCTCCGGATTATCGCTTTAATCACCAGCAGCAGCAGCAGCAGTCGGGCTTTGGGCGTGGTGTTGCTGGCACCAACGCAGCCACGCTGGTAATACCGCAGGTTGCGCAGCAGCACTTCCTTGGCAGCCATCAGCAGCAGGCCCACTTTACGCATCAGCAGCAGCAGCAACAACAACAGCAGCAGTCGCCCCTAAAGTTTACCTATGCCGCTTTGCCGCCGCCACCGCCGTTGCAGGTGAGTTTTAGCTGTTATAAAATGAAATCAATCAAAGGACTTTCCGACTTTCCTACCTTTGCAGCTATTTACGCAACAGCAGCAGCAGCAGCCGACGGCAGCTTCAACGCAGCCTCACCAGAAACCACCTCCCGCCTACGGAGCCGCCATCAGTCAAATACGATCTCAGCACAACCAAATCAAGCAGCAGCCACATCAACAGCAGCTGCAGCAGCAGTCACAGCCACCCCACATGGCCGGGCAGCACAACCTAACCCTGGCACCACCGACACCAACAACAGAAGTAGCTGGAAAGCAGCCCAGCAAGGCGCATGCGGAAGTATTTCTGAATCCCCCACCACCACCACCACCGCCGTCACAGGCACAGGCCACGGTATCGATCCACAGCATGGGACAGAATCATCAGAGTCATCCTCATTTGCAACAGCAGATTCACCAGCAGCAGTTGGCCACATCACCATCCTCCAGATTACAGCAGCAGCAGTCACTAAGCTTGCAGACCTACGGACCGGTCTCAGTGAGCAGCAGCTGTAGCTCCAGCTCTGCTTCCAACTCTGGATCTGCTGCTGCGTCTGGTAGTAGGAGCAGTCGGCAAACCAACTCACCATTTGGGGCTCTGCTCAACGCAGCGGCGGCTGTGGCCTGCGCCTCGCCAGCCTCGACCAATGCCTGCTCGTCGGTTCTGCGCTTTGCGGAATCACCGGTGGCCCACTATCTTGAGCGGGACAATGGTGACTTTATTGTCCAGGAAACGCCCAAGCATATTGTGGAGTGTGTGGAGAAGGAGGACGGTGAGTTCTCTGTGATCGAACGCATTTACCAATCCCCGCCGAGTGTCTTGCACATACACGATGACGATGAAGACGAAGAGGATGAGGAGGAGGAGGAGGAGGTGGTCGACGACGACCGCGAGGCTCAGCCAGAGGAGGAGGTAGACGGGGACGATGAGCGGGATGAGAATAGCCGCAGTCGCAGCCGAAATAAGACAACGAAAAAATCGCGGAAGGCCAAGCCTAAGCGAAGTTCCAAGCGCGTCTCGGATGAGGAGGAGGAGTTTATGAGCATTAGCAGCGGCTGCGAGAGTGACCCGGAAACGGAGCGCAAACCCGAGTCAATGTCCACGACGTCCACAGCTCCACCTCCGCTTTGCTCAGGTCCCTCTACCAGCTCTGCTGCAGCCGCCGCCGGCGCCTCCACGTCCAGCAATCTGGTGGATATCCATTCCAATTCGGCCTCCAATTCAGCCTCAAACTCCACCTCCACCACGACCAAGTCCAAAAAGAACCGGATCACAGTGCTTAGCGATGTGCCGCTCAATATGAATGAGTATCTCGATTTGATGGGTAACATAGTGGCCTCCAGTCGCATCGGGGCAGGGCGTCCCTTTGCCGCTGTGGTCCCCATTCCCCTCGTTAAGGTGGAGAAGGAGGAGCCCCTCGACGAGTACGACGACCCCGAGGCAGCGCAGCAGCTGGAGCAGAAGCCAAGCTTGGAGCACGGCACCACCAGTGTCATTCGCATGGCCAGCACAGTAACAGCGACGGCAACGTCGACACCGGTGACTGAAGAAGCCTCCGCCGAGGACCCCAACGAGCCGCCACTCATGAAGGTCGAGGTGGAGCCCAACACGATGCTGCTCCCGCAGCGCTTCTCCACTCCTGCCCAGAGTCGCGGGCCCAAGAAATTAGTCATCAAACCAAAGGCAACGGCATCAGCAGCAACGACGGAGACGGCAACAAAAAAGACTGACACCACACCATCTTCCTCCTCCTCCTCCTCCTCCAGCAGCAACCCATCCATATCAAGAGATCTGGGCCAGGTGCAGGTTAAAAGTGAGACTCTGGAGGCTCCGGCGGCAAGCATTCTGGAAAAGCACCTAACCACCAGTCGCAGCCAGAGCCAGCACCACCATTCGGCGGTCAACGATGACGATGCCCGAGTGCTGCTGGAGTTTGCCAACTCCAAGCAGCCGCCCCCGCTGGCAGCGTCCAGTACCACGTTCGTGGTGAATGCCAGCACGGGATTCCCATCGGCAGGGTCTGTTTTTGCCAGCAGCAGCAGCTCCAAGACCCCATCAAAGCCTGGCGAGGAATACATTCTGCCGGACAACACCAACCTGGATGTGGATGAGATTGTGATATCCTCGTCGTCTTCCTACGCCTCCTCAGCGGCGGCCCAGGTGCAAGCAGCGCTGCAGCCTCCGGACTTTAACTTCCTTTACCACCAGACCACAAGCACGACCACTGCGGCTACCTATCCTTTTAATGCCTTCGCACGGCAACACCAGCAGCAGCCACCACACGGTGTGAGTGATGCCACCAATGCGGCCACTTTGGCCTCCTCTTCCAGCAATTCCATGGACCATGACTCTATGAATGCCTCCTTCCGGGTGGCCAAGACACAGTCGCTGCAGTGGTACCAGCAGGAACAGGAGAATGATCCACAGATTCAGGCAGAAGGAGCCGGAGCGTCGGGGGTCTCCTCCAACCATAGCCACACCGATGTGGTCAGCCACCAGCCCACCAACTTCAATGCCGCCCTGGCGGCCGTCGATTGCAGCAGCGTTGCAGCAACGCTGGACGAGGAAGCCAAGTATCTGGATTTGGACACCTGCAAGCGGGAGCAGCTAAGCAGCAGCAGCAACCTGCCCTCGGTCTCCGCCTCGACATCCACCACCTCGTCCTCGTTCGCCGGTGCTGCCACGGAGAGCAGTTTGGTGGGTGGACTCAACATTCGCACCGATGAAAAGATGCCCGCCAAGGGTGAAATCTCCGAGCAGGAGAGCAACTGTGACATTGAAAACTCGTGGAGTGAATCGGTAGGTGAAACGGCTTTACCAGGTTTTTGGTTATAAATTTAAAACATATTATATGCTACAGGTTTATGGGGACATTTCGCAGAGGTTTTTCAGAAACCAGTTCTCTGGAGGCTACAACCCCGATTGGCGACAGGACTACTACCCGGCTCAGGATCTCAGCAGCGCTCAGCAGAGGGAGCATAAGCGGTGGGTATTACAACTGGAAATAAATCGAATTTCAGTTGATCGATTTTTTCTATAAATAAACCGGTTAAAATTTTTTATTTTAGTTGGTTTAATTTTAAATTATTTTTAAAACAAATTTGGATTTTTTTTTTAGCAAACATCTAAAAATAAACCAATTAAAATCAAATATAAAAAAATTAAAAAAAATATATTTTAATTTTCGATTTTAATCGGTTTTTTTTCGATTTTTATCGGTTTATTTTTTTAGAAAATTCTATGAACACATAGATTTGTAATTTTATTGTTCTACACATTTTATTTTTGGATTCTTAAAAGAATACAATCTATAATTTAATAAACTCTTTCACGAATTTGTTCGATTAAATCGATTCTAAAAATTTAAATCAAATGTATCGCATAATTGAAAAAAAACCGATTAATCGATTATAGAATCGATTTTATTTCTGGCTCTCATATATCATAGCCACACAAACATTTAATCTATATCTATAAATTAAAAATTTAATTAAAATATGTAAAAATAAATTTCTAAATGAGATTCTTCATCAAACAATTGCAGCTTCGACTTCAATGCGATTGATGATGAGGCCTCATCCAGCTCTAGGAAGAGCCAGCTGACGGATATCGTCCCCAATGTGGCCACCTCCTCCACTTCCACGTCATCGGCTTTGCTGGCGGGTCCACCAATAGCTTCGACATCTAGGGCTGCCGCTGAGGCGGCAGCGGAGGCGGCGGCTGCTCTTGCCCAGCGAAGGCCACATCGCCGCAAGCTTTACAAGTGCCCCCATTGCGATTCCATCTTCGAGAAGCTCAAGGAGCGGAATGCCCACATGATAAGCGACCATAACTATGTGCGTCAGAATCGAAGGCTCATCTGTACCCAGCCGCCGGTCAGTGAACCAATGCTGCCCCCGCAGCAGCAGCATGCCCAGTTGCTGCTGCAAACCGACGACGCTGTGCAGGAGGACTCAAAAGATGGCATTGTGAAGATCAAGCAGGAGCAGTGTTTGGAAAAACCGGAAGTCGAACAACTGCACCACGCTAATTCGGCTGAGCTGCTGTCGGATGTCAAGGACTCGGAGCTTCTGGGTATCGGCGGCGAGGGCGATGCGGATTTAGATGGCGATATTAAGCCACCTAGCCAGCTATTTGAGAAGTCGTCGTCCACACTGCCGCCGCTGGCCATGACCACGCCGGCAGCAAAGCTGGCGGCCCTCTATCGCATGCTTATCGCCTACAATGAATCGAAGCTGGGCCAGGAGCGCAACAACCTTAGCGAACTGGAGCAGAAGGCGATGGAGAAGTCCATCTTTTTGTGCTACGTCTGCCGCACCGACTTTCCCTCCGTGAAGCTTTACGACGCCCATCTAACCGAGCACCCGGCCGAGTGTTTCACCTGCGGCAAGAAGTTCTACCGCTGGAAGAACTTCTCCCTGCACCTGAAGCGGCACCTGGGCTGGAAAGAGTTCGGCTGTTACGTGTGCGACAAGAAGTTTGTGGTACGGAGCGCCCTAGTCGAGCACATGCGGATGCACACGGGTCAGACGCCGCTCAAGTGCAAGATATGCGGTATGTATACTCGAATCAAAACAAGAAGCATTCACCAACTCATCTTTCTCTCTCATAGGGAAAAAGTTCAAGCGCTACTCGAATCTGACGCAACACCGCAAGCGACACACCAAGGTGATGGTGCGAAAGAAGGAGTACGTGTGCCACTGTGGCGAGGTTCTGCCCTCAAAGGCGCGCTTCCTCTGGCACAAGGAGACCCACGACCTGAAGCCGAAATGCTGCCCGTATTGCTGTGACCGATTTGTGCACGCCAACTCGCTGCGCCGGCACATCCGGCTGGCGCACTCAGACAAGTTTGACTACGCCGAGCCGATGGAGTGCCCCATGTGCAAGCAGATCTTCGCCAAGACATCAATCAAGGCCCACATGGCCACGCACTCGACGGAGCCGCAGTACGATTGCGCCATTTGCAACAAGAGCTTCTCCACCAAATGGAATCTCAAGATCCACTCGTGGGTCCACGCCAATCGGACGGCCAAGCCCTTCAAGTGCGAGTACTGCCCGAAGGCGTTTGTGCGTGAGCTGGACTTCAAGAACCACATCAATGCCCACAAGCAAATCAAGCCGTATACGTGCGAGTACTGTGGCTGCAAGTTTATCCGCAAGTACAACTACATGCGGCATCGTCGCGAGCACCACGGCACCAAGAAGTTCACCTGCGATCAGTGCGACAAGTCCTTCCATCGGCACTACTATCTGATCGAGCACCGACGCATGCATACCGGTGAGCGACCCTTCACCTGCACCATTTGCGGCAAGAGCTCCACCACCAAGACCAACCACAACAAGCATCTGAAGATCCATCACTCGCGCGACCCCTTCACGGTGGAGGTCTAAGAGCGTGCGTGTGGGGATTGGTAATCGAACTAAAGTTTAATATAATCATTAACCTAGGTAGTTGTTCATTGACTCTTCTCTGTGTGTAATAATGTGTGTCTGTCTGTGGTTATAACGACAAAGGAAAACAAAAAACAAAACAAAACAAATTAGTATTACTTATCGAACTATATGCGAATGCCAACAGACGAGAAACAACAAATATCACAATGAATATGAACATTTTACTAATCATACATTTTTGGATGTGGTTTAAGAACGTAGCTAAATGTGAAAGTGTTGCCCCTCTTTACCCCCCGCCCAATTTTAATCCCATTTAGTTTTTAGATTTTATTTAGTGAAATGGCATGCATACCTAGTTCAGTGCAATATACATCGATTAATATACCTACTTTATATGCCGCGATATAATTTTTATTTCCGTAGTTCTTAGTTTGCATTAAGCCCATTATTTTATGTACGCATGCGTGCTAGTTAATCTAAGTTAGCCACAATTGGTTTTACAACTTTCGAGCACATTCTAAGCAAAGGACAAACACACAAATACACACACATTGCGCAGACAAACAAAACGAAGGCCCATCTGAGAAACTTGTTATATAATTTGTATTTTTCTAATTGAACAACAGCAATCGAACGTAAGCGAACACAACTGTCATATTGGGATAAACAATTTCGATGTACGTAGCGTATTTTCATTTATCGTAGTTGCAACTTCTCTAGGCTATATTTAAAAACAAAAAACAAAAAAGAAAAACAAAGATTGTTTCAATGGTTTAATGCAGCAATTAGTTAAAATTTCTAGCATTAAGTGAACACAACATTAAGTATAAATGAAATTTCATAATACATTCAAGCATTATTATAATAATAATAATAATAATAATAACGAAACAAATGAAAACAAACACAATTTTAAAATATTTACAACTTACAATACAACAAATTTCAATGAGAACTAATGGAATGAAACAAACATTCTATGGAGGAAATAAATTCAATTTATGGATAATTACAAAACAATTATGGATTTCTATCTGGCATTATTCATTTGTCTTTTGGGTTTTCCGGGGTGCGGAATCAATAGAATCGATTTCTCAATGTGAAATCAGCCTAAGACCGACGATGCGCTGATCTGTGCTACGTGCCAGAGAAACTGTTATAATATTCCTTAAACGGTAAATTTTTTGCTGATTTTAGGGAAATTAATGTTGGATTTGTGAAAATGTACAAATCTATGTTCTTGTTATAGGAAAAACTTATAATTACATTTGCCATACAAACTTGCCAAATTTATTGATTTTGTGCTCTAGGAGCATTAATTTTGATTACTTTTGAAGCACACTTTTATTATATTTTCCCGTTTAAGATTTTCAAAAACAAATTTTTAAAGATGCTAAAAATTTACAGGCCTGCTCCGGTAATAGTAAAAAATTTTCGATTTCTTTTTGAGCTGCTCCGGTTTTTGACAAATTTATAAAATCGATTTATAAATCGATTAAAATCGAAAATTGAAATAATAACAAGAAAGAAAGCTAACTTTGGCCAGCCAAAGTTTGTATACCCTTGCAGGTAACAATTAAAATATATCATAACTAAGCCAAAAATGCATTAATTTCGATTCGGAAAGCAGTTTTGTGTTAGTTTTTATTAATTTAAAAAAACTGCATATCAAATTTAAAATTTTAAGAAATCCAAATTTTTGGCCATTTTTGCAAATTTTAATGATGTAACCCCTTATCAAATTTCGCAAAAATGGCCAAAAAATCGATTTCTTCCGGACATTTCTAGAAAGATTTGCATGTTAATGCTGATCAAGAATATATATGGTTTATGGGGTCGGAAATGATTCCTTGACTTAGAAAAATATTATTTTGTATTATAAAAACTTGATTTTTTTTTAAATTAAAAATATCATAACTCGGCCAAAAGAGCATTAATTTTAAATCGGAAAAGTGTTCTGTGCAAGATTTTCTAGTTAATAAATCTGCATACTTCATTTAAAAATTTTGAAAATTCAATTTTTTATCAAAATCAAAAATTTTAATGATGTAACCCCTTTTAAAATTTCGCAAAAATGGCCCAAAAATCGATTTCTTCCGGACATATCTAAAAAGATTCCCCTGTTGATGCTGATTAAGAATATATATGGTTTATGGGGTCGGAAATGATTCCTTGACTTAGAAAAATATTATTTTGTCTTATAAAATCTTGATTTTTTTTAAATTAAAAATATCATAACTCGGCCAAAAGAGCATTAATTTTAAATCGGAAAAGTGTTCTGTGCAAGATTTTCTAGTTAATACATCTGCATACTTCATTTAAAAATTTTGAAAATTCAATTTTTTATCAAAATCAAAAATTTTAATGATGTAACCCCTTTTAAAATTTCGCAAAAATGGCTCCTTCACTGCGTTGCAAACTTCTGACTGAAATTATAATACCCTGCAAGGGTATAAAGATTACATATTTATATGCATAATAGATTTGTAATTTGATTGTTCTTTACATTTGATCTGTTAATATTTGTATTTAAATTAATTTGTACCTAACTTTTTCACAAGGTAACTTTTTCGTATAAATTGATTCCAAAAATTAAAATCGATAATAGAATCAATTTTATTTCCAACTCTACTACTTACCACAGCCCATTCATACTGTAAAATCAATAAAATATAGTAACTGAAGCTTATTGTTTATTTGTCAAAGAGAAAATGAAATTAAAAATAAGACTGGGCTACATATTCAATTATGTAAAACAATGTAATGAGTGAAATCAAAGCGCGCATTTTCTAAACGCAGATAATGGATATAATAAGATAATAGTTTTTGTGACTCGTCACACTTTTAGTTCTATTTCTTGGGTATCAACATCCAATTGTCGATGAGCGACTGGTAGGCAAGCTTCTTTTTATGCCTGTTCTCGAACAGTTCCACCTCGATGAGATCAAACTTTCCGACCTCCGAATGATCGCCGTTGTTGGCATGGTAGTTAAACGGATAATGGACTCGGGCATAGACCTTCGAGTAGTTGCAGAGGCAAGTTCGTAGGCTTTGGAGCACTTTCTTGTCCTCATAGTTCTGGTTCCTCTTCACGCCGTGCAACTTGACGCGGAAGGAGCGCTGCGGGAACATGAACAATTGATTTGGCATCTCCTTGAGGTTAGTGTAGGACACCCGCTCGGTGTCATGAAAATCAATGTAGAATACGGTGGCTTGCTCAATTCTCTCCTGGATCTCCTTGACGATGGCCCGATACCACCGCCTATCCTTCGAGTAGCGGGCCAGGCATAAGTCGTTGATCTTGGGACTCGTCAGAGCAGCCGCTTCCTTGATTAAAAGACTTGTCTCTTTGATCAGCGTAATTTCGTGCTTGGTGAACTCGGAGAGACAAGGAGCTATCTGCAGCTCCAAAGCCGAAAGCACATTGTTCACTGTGCACAGGAACTCCTTCACGCCAGTGGGAAGACTGAGCGTCTTGAAGCTGGTGCTGCCATCAAAGTTGGATTTCACCGAAGATGTGTCCATTGGCGAGAAGCTAACGTTTTCTTTCATATCCTGTTTGGGAAAGAGAATATTAAAATATAATATAAATTTATATTTTATTAAATACTTATTTATATTAAAACATTAAATATTATATTGATATATTTATTTTTTAAAAATTAAAATATTAAATATTTAAATATTATAATTAAATACTTATTTATATTTGTTATTGATATATTGTTATATTAAAATAAAAATACCTAAATATTATTATTAAAAAGTTATTTATGTTTATTTTTAAAATATTAAAAACATTAAATATTATTATTAAATACTTAGTTATATTTATTTTTTAATATAACAATATAAAATATTTCAATATTAATATGAAAAAACTATTTATGTTTATTTTTTAAATATTAAAACATTAAATATTATTTTGAAGTATTTATTTTTATTTATTTTTTAAATATTGAAAAATTGAATATTTAAATATTATTATTAAATACTTATATTTATTTTTTTAAATATTTATTATATAAAAATATAACATATTTCAATATTATTAATTAAATTAATTTTTTAAAATAAATATAAATACTTGATAATATTATTTTTATATTTTATATTTTAATATTTTTATATTTTAATATTTTAATATTTTAATATTTTAATATTTTAATATTTTAATATTTTAATATTTTAATATTTTAATATTTTAATATTTTAATATTTTAATATTTTAATATTTTAATATTTTAATATTTTAATATTTTAATATTTTAATATTTTAATATTTTAATATTTTAATATTTTAATATTTTAATATTTTAATATTTTAATATTTTAATATTTTAATATTTTAATATTTTAATATTTTAATATTTTAATATTTTAATATTTTAATATTTTAATATTTTAATATTTTAATATTTTAATATTTTAATATTTTAATATTTTAATATTTTAATATTTTAATATTTTAATATTTTAATATTTTAATATTTTAATATTTTAATATTTTAATATTTTAATATTTTAATATTTTAATATTTTAATATTTTAATATTTTAATATTTTAATATTTTAATATTTTAATATTTTAATATTTTAATATTTTAATATTTTAATATTTTAATATTTTAATATTTTAATATTTTAATATTTTAATATTTTAATATTTTAATATTTTAATATTTTAATATTTTAATATTTTAATATTTTAATATTTTAATATTTTAATATTTTAATATTTTAATATTTTAATATTTTAATATTTTAATATTTTAATATTTTAATATTTTAATATTTTAATATTTTAATATTTTAATATTTTAATATTTTAATATTTTAATATTTTAATATTTTAATATTTTAATATTTTAATATTTTAATATTTTAATATTTTAATATTTTAATATTTTAATATTTTAATATTTTAATATTTTAATATTTTAATATTTTAATATTTTAATATTTTAATATTTTAATATTTTAATATTTTAATATTTTAATATTTTAATATTTTAATATTTTAATATTTTAATATTTTAATATTTTAATATTTTAATATTTTAATATTTTAATATTTTAATATTTTAATATTTTAATATTTTAATATTTTAATATTTTAATATTTTAATATTTTAATATTTTAATATTTTAATATTTTAATATTTTAATATTTTAATATTTTAAAACAAAAAACAAAACAAAACAAATTAGTATTACTTATCGAACTATATGCGAATGCCAACAGACGAGAAACAACAAATATCACAATGAATATGAACATTTTACTAATCATACATTTTTGGATGTGGTTTAAGAACGTAGCTAAATGTGAAAGTGTTGCCCCTCTTTACCCCCCGCCCAATTTTAATCCCATTTAGTTTTTAGATTTTATTTAGTGAAATGGCATGCATACCTAGTTCAGTGCAATATACATCGATTAATATACCTACTTTATATGCCGCGATATAATTTTTATTTCCGTAGTTCTTAGTTTGCATTAAGCCCATTATTTTATGTACGCATGCGTGCTAGTTAATCTAAGTTAGCCACAATTGGTTTTACAACTTTCGAGCACATTCTAAGCAAAGGACAAACACACAAATACACACACATTGCGCAGACAAACAAAACGAAGGCCCATCTGAGAAACTTGTTATATAATTTGTATTTTTCTAATTGAACAACAGCAATCGAACGTAAGCGAACACAACTGTCATATTGGGATAAACAATTTCGATGTACGTAGCGTATTTTCATTTATCGTAGTTGCAACTTCTCTAGGCTATATTTAAAAACAAAAAACAAAAAAGAAAAACAAAGATTGTTTCAATGGTTTAATGCAGCAATTAGTTAAAATTTCTAGCATTAAGTGAACACAACATTAAGTATAAATGAAATTTCATAATACATTCAAGCATTATTATAATAATAATAATAATAATAATAACGAAACAAATGAAAACAAACACAATTTTAAAATATTTACAACTTACAATACAACAAATTTCAATGAGAACTAATGGAATGAAACAAACATTCTATGGAGGAAATAAATTCAATTTATGGATAATTACAAAACAATTATGGATTTCTATCTGGCATTATTCATTTGTCTTTTGGGTTTTCCGGGGTGCGGAATCAATAGAATCGATTTCTCAATGTGAAATCAGCCTAAGACCGACGATGCGCTGATCTGTGCTACGTGCCAGAGAAACTGTTATAATATTCCTTAAACGGTAAATTTTTTGCTGATTTTAGGGAAATTAATGTTGGATTTGTGAAAATGTACAAATCTATGTTCTTGTTATAGGAAAAACTTATAATTACATTTGCCATACAAACTTGCCAAATTTATTGATTTTGTGCTCTAGGAGCATTAATTTTGATTACTTTTGAAGCACACTTTTATTATATTTTCCCGTTTAAGATTTTCAAAAACAAATTTTTAAAGATGCTAAAAATTTACAGGCCTGCTCCGGTAATAGTAAAAAATTTTCGATTTCTTTTTGAGCTGCTCCGGTTTTTGACAAATTTATAAAATCGATTTATAAATCGATTAAAATCGAAAATTGAAATAATAACAAGAAAGAAAGCTAACTTTGGCCAGCCAAAGTTTGTATACCCTTGCAGGTAACAATTAAAATATATCATAACTAAGCCAAAAATGCATTAATTTCGATTCGGAAAGCAGTTTTGTGTTAGTTTTTATTAATTTAAAAAAACTGCATATCAAATTTAAAATTTTAAGAAATCCAAATTTTTGGCCATTTTTGCAAATTTTAATGATGTAACCCCTTATCAAATTTCGCAAAAATGGCCAAAAAATCGATTTCTTCCGGACATTTCTAGAAAGATTTGCATGTTAATGCTGATCAAGAATATATATGGTTTATGGGGTCGGAAATGATTCCTTGACTTAGAAAAATATTATTTTGTATTATAAAAACTTGATTTTTTTTTAAATTAAAAATATCATAACTCGGCCAAAAGAGCATTAATTTTAAATCGGAAAAGTGTTCTGTGCAAGATTTTCTAGTTAATAAATCTGCATACTTCATTTAAAAATTTTGAAAATTCAATTTTTTATCAAAATCAAAAATTTTAATGATGTAACCCCTTTTAAAATTTCGCAAAAATGGCCCAAAAATCGATTTCTTCCGGACATATCTAAAAAGATTCCCCTGTTGATGCTGATTAAGAATATATATGGTTTATGGGGTCGGAAATGATTCCTTGACTTAGAAAAATATTATTTTGTCTTATAAAATCTTGATTTTTTTTTAAATTAAAAATATCATAACTCGGCCAAAAGAGCATTAATTTTAAATCGGAAAAGTGTTCTGTGCAAGATTTTCTAGTTAATACATCTGCATACTTCATTTAAAAATTTTGAAAATTCAATTTTTTATCAAAATCAAAAATTTTAATGATGTAACCCCTTTTAAAATTTCGCAAAAATGGCTCCTTCACTGCGTTGCAAACTTCTGACTGAAATTATAATACCCTGCAAGGGTATAAAGATTACATATTTATATGCATAATAGATTTGTAATTTGATTGTTCTTTACATTTGATCTGTTAATATTTGTATTTAAATTAATTTGTACCTAACTTTTTCACAAGGTAACTTTTTCGTATAAATTGATTCCAAAAATTAAAATCGATAATAGAATCAATTTTATTTCCAACTCTACTACTTACCACAGCCCATTCATACTGTAAAATCAATAAAATATAGTAACTGAAGCTTATTGTTTATTTGTCAAAGAGAAAATGAAATTAAAAATAAGACTGGGCTACATATTCAATTATGTAAAACAATGTAATGAGTGAAATCAAAGCGCGCATTTTCTAAACGCAGATAATGGATATAATAAGATAATAGTTTTTGTGACTCGTCACACTTTTAGTTCTATTTCTTGGGTATCAACATCCAATTGTCGATGAGCGACTGGTAGGCAAGCTTCTTTTTATGCCTGTTCTCGAACAGTTCCACCTCGATGAGATCAAACTTTCCGACCTCCGAATGATCGCCGTTGTTGGCATGGTAGTTAAACGGATAATGGACTCGGGCATAGACCTTCGAGTAGTTGCAGAGGCAAGTTCGTAGGCTTTGGAGCACTTTCTTGTCCTCATAGTTCTGGTTCCTCTTCACGCCGTGCAACTTGACGCGGAAGGAGCGCTGCGGGAACATGAACAATTGATTTGGCATCTCCTTGAGGTTAGTGTAGGACACCCGCTCGGTGTCATGAAAATCAATGTAGAATACGGTGGCTTGCTCAATTCTCTCCTGGATCTCCTTGACGATGGCCCGATACCACCGCCTATCCTTCGAGTAGCGGGCCAGGCATAAGTCGTTGATCTTGGGACTCGTCAGAGCAGCCGCTTCCTTGATTAAAAGACTTGTCTCTTTGATCAGCGTAATTTCGTGCTTGGTGAACTCGGAGAGACAAGGAGCTATCTGCAGCTCCAAAGCCGAAAGCACATTGTTCACTGTGCACAGGAACTCCTTCACGCCAGTGGGAAGACTGAGCGTCTTGAAGCTGGTGCTGCCATCAAAGTTGGATTTCACCGAAGATGTGTCCATTGGCGAGAAGCTAACGTTTTCTTTCATATCCTGTTTGGGAAAGAGAATATTAAAATATAATATAAATTTATATTTTATTAAATACTTATTTATATTAAAACATTAAATATTATATTGATATATTTATTTTTTAAAAATTAAAATATTAAATATTTAAATATTATAATTAAATACTTATTTATATTTGTTATTGATATATTGTTATATTAAAATAAAAATACCTAAATATTATTATTAAAAAGTTATTTATGTTTATTTTTAAAATATTAAAAACATTAAATATTATTATTAAATACTTAGTTATATTTATTTTTTAATATAACAATATAAAATATTTCAATATTAATATGAAAAAACTATTTATGTTTATTTTTTAAATATTAAAACATTAAATATTATTTTGAAGTATTTATTTTTATTTATTTTTTAAATATTGAAAAATTGAATATTTAAATATTATTATTAAATACTTATATTTATTTTTTTAAATATTTATTATATAAAAATATAACATATTTCAATATTATTAATTAAATTAATTTTTTAAAATAAATATAAATACTTGATAATATTATTTTTATATTTTATATTTTAATATTTTTATATTTTAATATTTTAATATTTTAATATTTTAATATTTTAATATTTTAATATTTTAATATTTTAATATTTTAATATTTTAATATTTTAATATTTTAATATTTTAATATTTTAATATTTTATATATTTTAATATTTTAATATTTTAATATTTTAATATTTTAATATTTTAATATTTTAATATTTTAATATTTTAATATTTTAATATTTTAATATTTTAATATTTTAATATTTTAATATTTTAATATTTTAATATTTTAATATTTTAATATTTTAATATTTTAATATTTTAATATTTTAATATTTTAATATTTTAATATTTTAATATTTTAATATTTTAATATTTTAATATTTTAATATTTTAATATTTTAATATTTTAATATTTTAATATTTTAATATTTTAATATTTTAATATTTTAATATTTTAATATTTTAATATTTTAATATTTTAATATTTTAATATTTTAATATTTTAATATTTTAATATTTTAATATTTTAATATTTTAATATTTTAATATTTTAATATTTTAATATTTTAATATTTTAATATTTTAATATTTTAATATTTTAATATTTTAATATTTTAATATTTTAATATTTTAATATTTTAATATTTTAATATTTTAATATTTTAATATTTTAATATTTTAATATTTTAATATTTTAATATTTTAATATTTTAATATTTTAATATTTTAATATTTTAATATTTTAATATTTTAATATTTTAATATTTTAATATTTTAATATTTTAATATTTTAATATTTTAATATTTTAATATTTTAATATTTTAATATTTTAATATTTTAATATTTTAATATTTTAATATTTTAATATTTTAATATTTTAATATTTTAATATTTTAATATTTTAATATTTTAATATTTTAATATTTTAATATTTTAATATTTTAATATTTTAATATTTTAATATTTTAATATTTTAATATTTTAATATTTTAATATTTTAATATTTTAATATTTTAATATTTTAATATTTTAATATTTTAATATTTTAATATTTTAATATTTTAATATTTTAATATTTTAATATTTTAATATTTTAATATTTTAATATTTTAATATTTTAATATTTTAATATTTTAATATTTTAATATTTTAATATTTTAATATTTTAATATTTTAATATTTTAATATTTTAATATTTTAATATTTTAATATTTTAATATTTTAATATTTTAATATTTTAATATTTTAATATTTTAATATTTTAATATTTTAATATTTTAATATTTTAATATTTTAATATTTTAATATTTTAATATTTTAATATTTTAATATTTTAATATTTTAATATTTTAATATTTTAATATTTTAATATTTTAATATTTTAATATTTTAATATTTTAATATTTTAATATTTTAATATTTTAATATTTTAATATTTTAATATTTTAATATTTTAATATTTTAATATTTTAATATTTTAATATTTTAATATTTTAATATATTTTAATATTTTAATATTTTAATATTTTAATATTTTAATATTTTAATATTTTAATATTTTAATATTTTAATATTTTAATATTTTAATATTTTAATATTTTAATATTTTAATATTTTAATATTTTAATATTTTAATATTTTAATATTTTAATATTTTAATATTTTAATATTTTAATATTTTAATATTTTAATATTTTAATATTTTAATATTTTAATATTTTAATATTTTAATATTTTAATATTTTAATATTTTAATATTTTAATATTTTAATATTTTAATATTTTAATATTTTAATATTTTAATATTTTAATATTTTAATATTTTAATATTTTAATATTTTAATATTTTAATATTTTAATATTTTAATATTTTAATATTTTAATATTTTAATATTTTAATATTTTAATATTTTAATATTTTAATATTTTAATATTTTAATATTTTAATATTTTAATATTTTAATATTTTAATATTTTAATATTTTAATATTTTAATATTTTAATATTTTAATATTTTAATATTTTAATATTTTAATATTTTAATATTTTAATATTTTAATATTTTAATATTTTAATATTTTAATATTTTAATATTTTAATATTTTAATATTTTAATATTTTAATATTTTAATATTTTAATATTTTAATATTTTAATATTTTAATATTTTAATATTTTAATATTTTAATATTTTAATATTTTATTATTTTAATATTTTAATATTTTAATATTTTAATATTTTAATATTTTAATATTTTAATATTTTAATATTTTAATATTTTAATATTTTAATATTTTAATATTTTAATATTTTAATATTTTAATATTTTAATATTTTAATATTTTAATATTTTAATATTTTAATATTTTAATATTTTAATATTTTAATATTTTAATATTTTAATATTTTAATATTTTAATATTTTAATATTTTAATATTTTAATATTTATATTTTAATATTTATATTTTAATATTAAATATGAAATATTTTAATTATTTTTAAATATTTATTTTTAAAATACTAAATTGAAACTAGGATTTATTTATTTAAAAAATTATTTATGTTTATTTTTAAAATATTAAAAACATTTAATATTATTATTAAATACTTAGTTATATTTATTTTTTAATATAACAATATAAAATATTTAAATATTAATATGAAAAAACTATTTATGTTTATTTTTTAAATATTAAAATATTAAATATTATTTTGAAATATTTATTTTTATTTATTTTTTTAAATATTGAAGAATTGAATATTTAAATATTATTATTAAATACTTATATTTATTTTTTTAAATATTAAAATATAACATATTTCAATATTATTATTTAAATTAATTTTTTAAAATAAATTTAAATACTTGATAATATTATTTTTATATTTTATATTTATATATTTTAATATTTATATTTTAATATTAAATATTAAATATTTTAATTATTTTTAAATATTTATTTTTAAAATATTAAAAACATTTAATATTATTATTAAATACTTAGTTATATTTATTTTGTAATATAACAATATAAAATATTTAAATATTAATATGAAAAAACTATTTATGTTTATTTTTTATATATTAAAACATTAAATATTATTTTGAAATAATTATTTTTACTTTTTTTTAAATATTGAAAAATTGAATATTTAAATATTATTATTAAATACTTATATTTATTTTTTTAAATATTAAAATATATATATATTATATAATATATTTTATATATATATATAAATATTACTTTTAATAAGTTATTTTTGTTTATTTTTAAAAAATAATAAATATTTCAATATTATTTAAATTAATTTTTTAAAATAAATATATATAAATACTTGATAATATTATTTTTATATTTTAATATTTAATATTTTAATATTTATATTTTAATATTTAATATTTTTATATTTTGTATATTTTAATATTAAATAAGAAATATTTTACATATTTTTAAATATTTATTTTTAAAATATTAAATTGAATCAGAAGCTAGAATTTGGCACTCACCTTGTGGCGCAGTTCGATGCGACGCTGCAATTGATCGGCGGCCGAAATGCTTAGCGGCTTCATTTCATCGCTGGAGCTATCGCTGCTGGAAGAATCTTCACCATCAATATTGATGTCCATTTCGTGAAGGCAATGGTCTCTGCCCAGCTCAATCTCCTCATCGTCTGCGATAGTGACATCTGCCGCCTGAAGTTCTCCCGAACAACCATCTGAATCGGCGCAATCGTAGCTGTTGTCGAGGCCCATCTCCTGCGCTGCCTGCTGGCAATCGAAATCCTGGTCCTTTTCGAAGCGATTCACCTCCTTGGTGTTCAACAGATACATTTTCTTAACCGGCGGCTGATTTACAGACGAATCAGTTTCGTTTCTATGATGAGATTGGCCGCCTAGACGGCGCTGCTGTGTGGCGCCCAGAGTTTCCAGTTCGTCAAAGACCCTGAAAGCCTCGAGTTCTTTCTTCTGTAAAGTGAATTTCAGACTGTTCTTTTGGTTTTTGGCTTCCACTGGAATAGCCATGCCGCAGTCTATCATCATGGTGGCCATGTCTACGTGGCCCACCTTGATGTTGCACGTGGGCAGTTTACTGGTCCCCACTCCCCTCGGCTCCACCACATGCACACTGCTCAGCTTCATCACCAGTTGCTGATGCACTGTATCCATCTGCTTGTCGGTATACTTTCCGCCCTTTGGTCGTACTCCGTGAATGTTAACCAGCCAGCACATGGCATTCAGCTGCGGGAAGGGGGCATATGGCAGCATCTCATCCGCCTTGACCTTTTCCAAGTTACCATAGTCAACGTAGTACACCGTGTACTCATCGTGATTGTTAGGCAGACGCTGCACTATGCCGCGATAAAGCAGGTTGTCCATGTGATAGGTGACCAGCACCGGTTGGCCCACCCCGTAGGTGTAGCAGCGATTCTTCTGCTGCTGTCTGTTCATCAAAGGCTTGTAGTGGTACTCCAGCAGCTTGCGCATGTACTCCAAGTAGGGTTTGTCACTGCCCAAAGTCAAATAGATGCTGCACTCGTAGTTCACGTTCGTGGCAATGGCCGTGAATATGGTTTTGTCGCTTTTGCGAGGCGTAGACCAACCAGGAGGCGGCACAGTTTGGCCAGTGGTCTTTTGGCCCTTTGCCAAATCATCAAGCAGTTCCATTGGCGGCATGTCCTCATTGTGCTCGAAGCCGCGCACAGTCCTGCCACCTGGCACTTCAATAAGGTTTGTAAAGATCCTGGATTCATCGATCTTATCCAGCCACGTTTGCACTGGCTCCTTGTCGTTGGAGATGGTGGTTCCGGTGGAGGAAAAGCTATCGAAAAACAGCATCGAGTTCTGGGTATCGTTTATATCGTCTATATTCTTTACGGCCAAGTTCTTCCTCAAAAGCTCCTTGTTTATATTCACATAAATGGTGTGAGCGGGCGAGAAGGGTCCACTGACCACGGTGTGTGCGCCATAGAGGATCACGCTCACGGAGTTGGACGTCTTGCCCTGACTCGTCGTATAGACCTGGTCGTAGGCCTGCACCTGGTCCTTGAAGTAGTCTATGGCCTCGGTACTCCACTCGGTGCCCACAGGTTTGATGCCGCACAAGTGGCAACGCAAGGCGCTGCTGGTAATTTTCATCAGGGACTCGTCGGCATTGGCCATGCTACTGGTGGGCACATTTTCGACCACCTGGCCGATGTCCCGCAGCTGGATATGGTAGCGGAATGAGGAGTTCACCTGCGTCACCACGCCACGGTGCCAAAGGGTGTCCAGGTCGGAATCAGCCTGGACCCTGACTAAGCACAAATCGCCCACTTTCCAATCTGTCTGGAGCACCTGATTCTGATACATTGCCTCCGCCGCCATCTGCACAGACTGCTGCATTCTCTCGATGGCCGACTGGAAGTGAGGCAGGGTCACATAGAACTCACCAGGCTGACGGATGTAGAGTATTTTCACATTTGACCGCTCGTTTCGGTCCTCGGTTCCTGCCTCTGGCTTTCGAAAGGGTGTCAGCGCCACCGCTTGCACCTTCTGCTGATCCAAGAATCTGCGAGTGTCGTCATCGAGGCGAGCGGATCGTTGCGAAGCCTGTGCATTGCTAAACATTCGGCTGCTCTCCCCAGTGGATGTACAGTGTCGCTGGGCAACCATTTGCACTGCCACGTTTGTTGTCTCTGAAGTGCCACGCGTAAATTTCAGCGCCACATAGACCACATCCTCGGTGAAGTTGATTACTTCAATGTACAGCTTGGGATTCGAGGTGAGCTGCTTAAAGAAAGCCGTTGCCTCGGTAGTCCACACGTACGACAAATCCTGCAGGGTCTCCACATCCGCTAGGCTGCACCTGATAGTTCGTTCCGGTTCCCAGAACTCCGCCGGCAGCACAAATAACTCGTCCCAGTAAACCGTCTGGGTGGGGCCATCGTCCACCAGGCGAACAACAACGTATCCTAAAACAAAACCCCCATCAAAAATATATATATATTTCCCAAAGACTTTACACTCACCATCAGGCAATATCTGCTCGATGCTGGCTCGCTTCCATAGGCCATCCAACTGTAGCACGCAGCCGAGATGCAGGCGTCCCAGAAAGATACTTTCCAGCTTGTTGAGGCTCAGGCGATCCATGTGTCTCTGCAAGCTGCTCTGCATCTGGCAGCGCTCGGACTCAAGGTCGTGGCGCATAACATAAAACTCTTGCGGATGCTCCACATGCATCATTTGGATCATGAAGATATCGCCAAACTGGAGTTTAGGTCTGGGCAAACGGTGTTTGGAAGGTGGAAGGTTCAGACTAACGGCCGGCGGAAGGCCGCAGCGAGAGCGGGCCAGGCCAGAATATAAAAAGGAGTCGCGCACGGAGATGCTAGTTTTGTAGTTGCTGCTGATAAGGTCCACCTCGTGCAGGTCATGGGACAAAGCCTTCTTGACAATCAGGCGAACGGGATTGCTGCAATTGGAAAGGAGGATACGTGTCAAGAGAACAAGTTGAGCCAGGAGTTACTTACTTTTTAATTATCTGCTTGAGAAAGGTGATGGCCTTGGGACCCCACTCTGAATCGGCGCCACTTGTGGGCATAAGTTCCAGGCTGCAGTGCATGGCTGAGTATGGGAGATGGGACAGGCGCTCTGGCATCTCTCGGAAGCTGAAGTTAAAGATATTTTATTTTTATCGTTTACTTGTACCCCAACAAAAGACTCACTGGCTAGTGTGCATCTCGTGGAAGACACCAGTGTCCGGAAAGAAGACCTTGCAGGTGTCCTGTGTGGCCATCTTCTGGGTGACCATGGCCCGATAGTAGCGATGCTGATCTTTGACATAGATGATATAATGCTGGCCCACCTCAATATCCGGGGGAGCGAGGATGCCCGTCAGCGACTGTGCAAATGTGTCTATCTCGTTGCGTACCCGCTGGGCCGCATTAGTGTCCTGTACGTAGAAGTCCTCTGGTGATTTAATGGAGCGAATGTTTACCACTGCATCGGTCTTAAACCAGTCCGCCTTTTCTGCCATCCCTGTGGCGGGCTTGGTAATGTCCATGGTCGAGAAGTTGCGCACAAAGTCCTGCTGCTGATGATGATTCCTTGGCTGAAAACTATCGATTGTGGCCGCAGTAGAGTTGAGGCTTGATTTGGTCGACTTTTTGGCATGATTTTTTTGAGAACTAGACATCGAATTGATATTGGATTTCTGGCTGAGTAGCTGGTGCTGGTTCTGCTGCCCAGGTCCCTGGCTATTGGACCGGCAAGTGTTCTCTTTGTCACTGCTGAAGCTCATGGAGAATGTGTTGTCTGCATTGTTGATGCTGCAGATGCTGCGTTCACGCTCAAAATCGGTTTTGAAGCTAACTTTAATATTGGGATTCACGAATGTGCAGTTGAACTTTTTGTCGATTATGCTGAGTATATCAATGTGTTCACTGTAGATGCTAAAAGGTTGTAGGAAATAATGATTATTATATATAACAATAATCATAATAATGCCTTTCCTTATATATGAAAAATCTCCATGTACTCACCGATAAGGATTCATCTTGATCTGGCTGACCTGCACTGTGCTGGGTATCCTTTTCAGGTGCTTGGTGGACTGCTGAATGAGCTCCTTTAGCCAGATATTCTTGGGCACACCATTATCCAGATATTGCATCATGTGCTATCAGCGAGGTAAAAAGAAATGTTAGTTGGTAAATATTTAAATAGTATTACCAGCACTCCCACCTTGATCAATTCTTCGTAGCCATTCAGCTGACCCATGGCTTCGTTGAGCTCCATTTGGGGCGGCAGACTGGACTCGCGCAGCTTCTCGACAATCTGTAGCTCGGCCACCTGAAGCAGGCCGTGCAGGTGGCAAAAGTGTTTGGATATGCTGGCCAGGGTCTCGGAGGCATAGTCGCTCAGCTTCTGTTTGGCCGCGCGCACCACCTGCCAGGGAGTAGGGGGGGAAATACCAGAAAGTGGTTAGCAGTGGATGATGATGATGATAGCCATGCAGATGAATATGCTGTACATTCTAATGATTTCGCCGCCGCAGTGGCCACCTAACCCGACCTCACCTATCCACCTTGCCAGGTGAATGGCTTTGCGAGCAATCGCGCGCGCGCGCCATCCTCTCGAGTTTTAATTGTACATTTCCCAATCGCAGGCAATCGGTGGCTACCTTCTTCTCAGTGCTGTTAATTTAGCTTTTAAACTGGATTTTCCAGCATTAAATATGGTTGAAATCATTTAAAGATTACAAATTAAACGTATATGTTATTTTAAATATTTTTTCAAAAGTGAAAAATATAATAAACAAGTAGAAAAGTTACAGTCGAGTGTGGCCGACTATGAGATATCCTGTTCCCAAAATATATAGTGGGTGAAATTAAAAGGAAAATGCTAAAATTTGTTAAAAATGTAAAATTTAACAGGGCGAAAAAAAGAAACTAAAGCCAAATGTTGCTGGGAAACACCAAAATAACGCAAATGTTGCTAGGAACATGTTGAGCAACATGAACTGGTGTAATGTAAATGTTGCAGAACTTCTACATACACAGAAACAATATTGTCTAGTCCCAATGGTCCCAATGGACTTTTCAGCATTTGAAAACGTTTAAAAATGAAACTTAAAAAGTTTATATTTTTTATATATATATTTTGTATTTATACTAAATTTTATACTAATTTTACTAAAAAATCCCAACCAGAAACTGCAGCATCCTCTCTGTTGGTCTCGTTTCCAATCTTCTTCATCGCTATGTCGAGTGGCAATGATCATTATCAAAGACTCTTTGGCGTTAGTTGGGTTTTTCGAAAGTGATTGTAAAAATCACGGAAAAAGCTGGCTTGGCTCGGATCGGGCTTATGACAGCTGATTTGTAGCAGATGACAGGCAAGTTCGCGCCAACGGGCCACGTTAGTTCTGCCATAAAAGGGCATCCACATCCACAGCCATCCATCTATCGAGCGATCCAATCTCAAGAGTTGTCGTGTAAATGAAACCATGTTGGAGCCCCGAATCTGGCACATCATTAAAACGAAACTCGGAGATCGTTTTGTCCGCCGCCTCGGGCGATGCGAGATCAATTCACTTGACCTTGTCAAGGGTTCCGTTTGGTCTACAGAGTCTAATATATATCTCGGCATAGACATTTCCATTGTTTACCTTGTCTATCAAAGTCCGCACAGCCCAATTCATATTCACATCCACATTCACAGGCACAATCCTCCGCCAATTAGTTTTAATGGCCACGAAAAATACTTTTCAATAATCCGCAATCGCTGAGCCCATTTTTAAATTATCGCAACCGGCCGATGGACTGACAGACACAGAGACTGACTTCCTACACACAACAAACATGCTTTTTTTTTATTGGCAATACTAAAACAGAACTCTGCGAGTGGCCAATAATAGTAATAATAACAATAATAAGCAGAACCTGCTTCCTTTTAATTTGGTAAAAAAGCAAGCAAATAATAAGGAATTTTCATAAACGAATTTCAAACTCCCTGGATTAGGGGTCCTGGATTTTGAAAATTTAAAATAAAGCTATAAATACTATGATTTCCTTTCCTAAATTTAATTTCCAATTTTGCCTTAAAATTTATCAGTTTAAAAATTCGGAGGAATAAAAGTATTATTCATTTTTAAAACTATTGTATATGCCCCGATAAAATGTAGAAAAGTACATTATAAACCTATGAATTATGATCATAAATATAATTAAGAAGCATTAAGGTAGCCTCCGGACGATCGTAACTTGACTTAATATTAATCATTCTGCGATGCTTTATAGACTCTTGGAGCTAAAAGCTGTCATAACTTGATCAACACAGCTGACTTAATACTGCTTTGGAGATCATTATAATCGGACAGGAAAACATTTAATAGATCTTTCGGCAGTTCTACTGAAAACTTTACTAACCAAAACTATTAGTGTGCAATTAAAGTTACAGAAAAAGTGAGTTAAGTAAATAACAAATGTGATTATTAAACGCAATTTTTGAAATTGGAGTAAACATAAATTTTTGTTTAATAAACTCTGCGGTAAATAAGCCAGAGACGCCAGTCGATCATAAGACTTGGACAGTCGGTCGGTCGGTAAGTCGGTTCATTTTGGCCAGTTTATCAATTACAGACAATCGGACGCTCGACCGGACACGCAATTTGGTGGCGTTTTGTGCCGCCTCGTTAGCCAGCTTTTCGACTTCGTAATGCCCCAGCCCCAGAAGCCATAACCGACTGACTGACTGTCTTGGCTTTTGCCATTAATAATTGTTTCTCGCTTTATATAATACATAATTTGTGTACGCTTTTCTTGTATTTATTTTTGCAATTAACCACGGGGAAGCAGCGAACGAACAGAGGTTTCTGCACGCGGCGGCCAGCTAATGTGATTATGATTTATGTGGGAGGCCTTGAGGAACTGCCTACCGCCATCACCCATTGGATCAGAGTCCGATTTGACTGACTGCTGCTGGCAGCCGCAGTTCGGTTTCATCTGGACAGGGCTAATTGCGAATGCTGGTCGGCTTGGCACCGGCACCAAATAAATCAGCGGCCCCCCTCTCTCTCTCTCTCTAGCTCCTCCTTGGCGTCTCCATTAAATGCGTTTAAATGCAGGACCAGACCAAAACCAGAAAGAAGACTCTTGGTGGAGCCGATGATGCCTCGGCCAAGTCACATTCTGTGACAGCCAAAGACTTCCAATGCAAGGTCAACTGCAAAACTGACTGCATTCAAGATGCGCTAGGCTGTAGGCACTGGCAGAAATAGTTATGAATACTATTAACACTAGTTATACCGAAAGTCTTGAAAGATTCTAATTAAAAATGAATAGTACTTTATAAATAAAAAATACAATTAACTACAAAAATTAGAGTATTTGGATAATAACAATAAAATTATAAAACAATAACTTAGCTTAGTATTTTGAGCCTTTGCAACATCAATGTTGCTTCACACATTCCTAGCAACATTTGCCTAGCAACATTTTTCTTGTGCATTCGGCCATGTTAGATATAATTTTTTATAACCAGTACCAGTATAATTAAAAGGGATTTGGCTCTTTTAGAGCACAGGAAATTGGATTGGAGATGCCAAAAAATATTTATATATTTATCGAAAGTCTGAATATTTTACGATATATGTGCTATAAATTGATATTTTGTTGATATAAAGGAATAATGAAATCAGAGGGAGAAAAATAAATTAATAATAAAATTAAATGCAGTCCAGATATATTTTTAAAATATTGATTATTTAACGTTATATGCAATAGTTTCGATATTTGAAATTCGATATATCAAAGTATTTTCGATACAATAAATTTCAATACAACTTTGTTTGATATATTAACATAAGGAATATTTACAACAATTTTTTTATTTTTATTTTATTTTTTTTAACAGAAATCGTTTGATTATTAATTTTGTAAAAACAATTTGAAACGACTTTCCATCTTTTATTTGCTTTTTCTGTAAGTGAAGCTTCCACTTTAGTGGCTAGAAAACAAAAAACAAACCAACAGAAACCTCCAAAAAAATGAAAGGCCTCCAAAAGGCAACATAGTGACACATTGTACAGACTTTTCCAAGCTTCAAGCCAAAAAATAGGAAATATGAAATGAAAAACTTAATTACATGATTAATTAGAAGCTGCGGCGCGGCTTGGGCATGATTTTTTTTCTGTTCTTTTGTTTCAAGTTTTTCCAGCTGGCTTTGAGATTTTCTCAAGTGGCGAAGGTTGCCCAAAATAGGGTTCGGGGAACTTTTTCGTGATTCATCGGGCAGCCAATTGGCCATTGCGTAAGAGATCAGAGCGGAGCAGATCGAGCTAGTTAGTACAATTAAAAGTAAGCTAGCTAGCTGGCCAGCTTCGAGTGCTCGAGAGTTGAACGTATATTTTTTTTTTGGAGGCACGACAAACGAGTTCAGCTCCCAGCGCCAAGAAGAAACCCACTCAAATCCGAGTCGGAGAGCGTTGGATTGGAGTGGATCTTGCGGCTGGCCAGATCTCGCAGTGCCAGGCATATTCAACCACAACGCTTGCAGTCAGTCGAGGTTGAAGCGTCTGGTTGAACGGTTGGCACACCTACCTACCTATAGTAATAACTTTCAAGTGAAACAAGAAGTGTGTCTACTGTACGAGCGATTCGCCACATTATCATTTGTGTTGTGCCATATTCGTGTGGCCCATTGTCTCGGGGAAAAGACAGTAGCAGCAGCAGCAACAACCCATTGACTTGAAAATTGCAACTGCAACATCAGCAACATTGGCAACATTAGCACAACTGGAGCTCTTTTTACCCGCCCGCTATTTTGGCGGTTTCTTGGGCAATCGCCGCACATAGTACGACTGAACCGCTTTATATATAGGCCAATGCAAATTTTCCACCTGGGGAAAATGCAATGAAATAAAAATAAATAAATAAGGCAAATGAAACGAGTGCAAACGGCTAATAAAAACGGATTGAAAGTAATTGTTTCTCAACAGCGAAATTTAACGAGTCGTTGAGTCGCGGTTGCCTTTGCCTTGTCGATCGTTCGATCAGTTTCAAGTGCATGAAAGTAAGTGCGAGTGTCTAGTTTTTTCTTGCTAAACAAACAAATTAATAAACAAATAAACAAACAAAAAAACACAAAAAAAAAAAAGGTCAAAACATAATAAACCCATAAATCAAAATCAAAAGGAATTGCATCCAACCAAAACTTGGACCAGCAGCAGCCAGCACACACAGCAGCAACATGTTGCCGAGGATAACTTTTGTGTTCATCATCATTTGTGGATATTTATTATTTACTGGTAAGCTGCGAAGACAGACAATCCCCCAGCCATAAATCATAAATTCCCACAATATTTATGCGACTCGCATGCCAAAGTAGAGGGAGTTTACTTGCGATTCTATCAACGAAGTTTAAAATACCCTTTAAGAACTTTTGAT